CTTTGGTACAGTGTGACTCTGTGCTCCTTCTGCCATCGTAGGCTGTACCCTAGAACTAAGCCCAAATCAATCCTTCCTCCTTAAGATGCTTTTTAGTGGTGAGGACAGTGACCGACACAATACCAAAATCTATTCCTGGGATTTTGTTATTTTCATTGCTAGCAGATATTGGCAAAATTCTCAATATAGTCCACTTACCACATAGTGACATTTTGGTCAGCTGGAAATCTTCTATGTACATTAGTTTCATAAAATTAAATCACCTAATAACACTGTAGCCATTTTACTATGCAAGTATACCCTATGGTGTTTATGCTCTAATAAAATTACCTCCCAGCAGTTTCTCAGAACAGACTTCCCCATCCTTACCTGAGGCAGGATTGTGTTATGCATGCTTTAAACATTCAGCTGCCCTTGTGACCTCAGTGATCCAAGCCCTTCATAACTTAATCTTATAAGAGACTGCTTAGGGCCAGGTGTGATAGCACATGCCTTTAATCCCAGCACTTGGGAGGCAGAAGCAGGTGGATCTCTGAGTTCGAGGCCAGCCTAGTGATCTACAAGGTGAGTTCCAGGATGGCTAGGGCTATTACACAGAAAAACCCTGTCTCCAGAAAACCAAAATAAATAAATACATAAAGAGAAAGAGAATGGTTAGGGAATGTGTGGTCAGAGGTTCATGGAATCAATAAGGTGTTCAGTAGGAACACTAGACGGGAACCCAGCAAAGCTTCCAGATAGATCACACCTCTGTAGAGACTCAAAGGACGGTATTCACAGAGAAGAAAAGGTAGGAAATCTGATTGTCATATGAGTCATTTATGTCTTTGGTTTTGGTGTTTTGAGACAGGGTATTTCTATGTAGGCTGAATTAACGGAGATCTACCTGATGTGGGAATTAAGCTGGGTACCACAATGCCCAGCTGATTTGCTTTTGGGGATGTCTTAACCCTTAGTTAGGGTTTCTATTGCTGTGAAGAGGCACCATGGCCATGACAGCTCTTACAAAGGAAAGCATTTAATGAGGCCTGGCTTACAGTTTCAGAGGTTTAGTCCATTGTCTGTCAAGGGGAAGCGTCACAGCACAAAGGCAGACGTGGTGCTGGAGAAGGAGCTGAGAGTTCTGCATCTTGATCTGCAGGCAGCAAAAGGTGACTGCCACACTAGACATAACTTGAACATATGAGAGCTCAAAGCCTGCCTCCAAAGTGACACGCTTCCTCCAACAAGGCCACACCTACCCCAACAAGGCCACACCTACCCCAACAAGGCCACACCTACCCCAACAAGGCCACACCTACCCCAACAAGGCCACACCTCCTAACAGTGCCACCTTATGGGTCAAGCACTCAAACACATGGGAGGCATTCCTATTCAAACCACCGCATGGGGGATTTATATTTATGTGTATGAATGCTTGCCTGATATATATGTCTGTGCACCCCATATATTCAGTGCCTGAGGAAGCCAGAAGAGGGCGACAGATACAGATCCCCTGGGACAGAATTTAGAGACAGTTGCCGTGTGGGTTGTGGGAATTGAACCTGAGTTCTTTGGAAGAACAGCCAGTGTTCTTCACTGCTGAGCCATCTCTTCAGCCCCTCATTTCTTTTTGTACATACGTTTTCTTTTTGTTTTATTTTAGACGAGGTACTTGAGAATGCTCGACTGGAAATTGAAAAATTGAAAAACAATCTGATAAAACTGAAAGAAAGTGGTGAGTCATTAGCATATATAGTAATAATAGATCACACAATAGCATAGTATGTGCAGTTTAAAATATCACTTAAGAGGGCTGGAGAGATGGCTCAGAGGTTAAGAGCACTGACTGCTCTCCCAGAGGACCTGAGTTCAATACCCGGCAACCATATGGTGGCTCACAACCATCTGTAATGAGATCTGGTGCCCTCTTCTGTCATGAAGGCATAGGTGCAGGCAGAACACAATACATAATATATATATATATATATATATACACATCACGTAAGAGCTCCATGGCTAACAAACACTTACAGAGGACCCGAGTTTGGTTGTAGCGCCCACATTGAGCAAGTCGCAACCACTTGTAACTTCAGCTCCAGGGGATTTGACGCCCTCTTCTGGCCTCTGTGGACATTTGCCCACATGCACAGACACACAGACACTCACACATAAATGACATGATAAGACAAATCTTTAAAGTGTTCTTAATAATGGCAATCACAAGTAGCACTCCTACAGCCAGTGCTGCTCTGGCTGTTGCAGCTGCCATCACTTCCTACCCCCGGAGCAGGAGTCGCTCTGCCAGGAGCTTCTCATGATTTTCTTTAATCCTCCTCACAAGTTGGGTACCGAATATGATTATCCCCATCTCCTAGATAAGGACGCTGAGCTGTGGCAAGGTTACCTGGGTTATCCATTAACTACAAAATATACCACAGCTGATGTGTGAATCCTTATGTATCTGATTCCAAAATCTGTCACCAGGACAGAGAACTCAGGGGGTACTGAGACCCCTGGAGCCAAGGACCTTATAGTCTGTTCAACAATAACTCCTTCACATTTGTTCACTGGAAAGCCAATAGGCCTGGAGTGGTGTTGAATGAGCTAATCTGACCCTGCCTTTGGTATTTAATAATTCTACCAGCGATTGTAAAATTTGGATATCCCAATGGTCACAACAAAAATGATTTATAGAATATTTTTATCAATTTTAAATAATTTCAAAATCAGTCAAAATTCCAAAATCCTTTCCTTTAAAATAAAAAAATGTACACCCTCCTGAAATTTTAGCTCCAGGGACATTGAGATGGCTCTGAACCAGGACCCACCTGGTTGAAGGACAGACCTGATGCCAGCAATCTGTCTTCTGACATGTGTGCACATGCCACACTCACACACACACACACAATAAGAAATGTTTCATGTTCCCAGACCCCTGTATTGTTGGAAACAATACATTCAAAAAGTTCCTTAGACCTCTGTGAGAAATACAAAGCTTCTGTTTCATTACAATAGGTTGGTAGAATATTCTGGTTTGGCGGCTCTCCTATGCAGACAACCACATATGCAGAACGCAGCAGACCCCCACTCGTTAGTGTTTAAGAGTCGTTGCCTCCCAAGGGAAAACTGTGGCCCAAGTAGTAACCGCCTCCTCCTCTGTTTAGATGCGACAGACCTACGGAAAGTGAAAGAGCACAACCAGAGGCTGGACGAGGAAATTCTGGCTTTAAGAAACCGGGTTCGATCGCTTGACTCCGAGAAAAAGTTGCTTGGAGAAATGGTCAGTGTGCTTTATTTAGTTCCTGGAGTTTGTTTAGTGTGTATCCAATAGCAACCAGTGGTGTGAGCCACAAGGCTACCCATCGTCTAAGCTGGTTCTTCGGAGACTGGTCCTGACAATATCGGGGGTCAGGGCACAGAGGTGCTGTGTTCTAACCGAGTGTGTTTTTATCTGCCAGTGCTTACGTCTCGTTTTAAGTACTTGTGCTGAACAGCAGCATCATTGCGGTTGTATGAATGTCAGGCCCGCTTATTTTTATTGTTGTTTTATGTGTATGGATGTTTTATGTGTATTGTGGTTGTATGAATGTCAGGCTCGCTTATTTTTATTGTTGTTTTATGTGTATGGATGTTTTATGTGTATTGCTGTTGTATGAATGTCAGGCCCGCTTATTTTTGTTGCTGTTCTATGTGCATGGATGTTTTGGTTGTAGGTATGTCTGTGTATGATATGCATGTAGTGCCTGAGGGGGCAGAGGAAGGCTTCAGATTCACTGCATAAAGATCATTGTAAGCTGCCGTGCAGGTGCTGGGAACTGAACGCAGGTCCTCTGGCAGAGCAGCCAGTGCTCTAAACTGCTGAGCCATCTCTGCAGTCCCAAAATTAGGATTTCTACACCAGCATAGAATTAACAGCCATCAGATAAAAAAATTACTCTTACTTTGTACAAGTTTGTGATTATTACTATTGTATTCACAGTTGTAGTATTTTTTAATTGATTTTTATTGAGCTCTGCATTTTCCTCTGCTCCCCTCCCTGCCTCTCCTCTCTCCTTCAACCCTCTCCCAAGGTCCCATTTACTCAGGAGATCTTGTCTTTTTCCACTTCCCCAGTTGTGGTGTTTCTAAACCGTTTCTTCTTGGCAGTGGATTACCTTTAATATACACTTTCATGTGTAGTATCTCCAGCCTCAGATTATTTGTTTCATAACCACATGTATAGTATTAAATACAGTGCAAAGTGCTCAACAAACTTAGTTTTAAAATTATTAAATACCTGTATTTGGACTTTCCTTTAGGAAGCTCACAAAACTTATTTAGCTTACCAAGTAGGGTTTTTTGTTGTTGTTGTTGTTTCTATCCTGGAACTAGCTCTTGTAGACCAGGCTGGCCTCGAACTCACAGGGATTCACTGCCTCTGCCTCCGGAGTGCTGGGATTAAAGGTGTGCATACCACTGCCCTGCCCCTACCTAGTTCTTATAGCTTAAATTAACCCTTTTCTATTAATCTGTGTTCTGCCACGTGATTCAGTTACCTGGCCTTTGTGTCCTACGTCCAACTCTCGCACACCTAGATTGCTCTCGAGTTCCCCTCTCTGGCTGGAAGTCCACCTATTCTCTCCTGCGTAGCTACTGGCCACTCAGCTCTCTAGTAAATCAATCACATTGACACATTTTCACACGGTGTAAACAAATATTCCACAGCAAATACCCACTGGGACAATTCTTATTAAAAAAATAAGAAATGACTTGTGCGCGGTGGTGGCGCACACCTTTAATCCCAACACTCAAGGAGGCAGAGACAGGCGGATCTCTGTGAGTTCAAGGCCAGTCTGGTCTACAGATCGAGTTCCAGAATAACCAGGGCTGTTACACAGAGAAACCCTGTCTTGAAAAACAAGAAAGGAAGGAAGGGAGGGAGAGAGGGAGGGAGGGAGGGAGGGAGGGAGGGAGGGAGGGAGGGAGGGAGGGAGGGAGGGAGGAAGGGAGGGAGGGAGAAAGAGAAAAAGAAAGAAAAGGAAAAAAGAAATGTCATGTTGTTGGGACTAGAAGAATTAGAACATAGCGCATTGCTACTTGTGCCGACTGTATGTCAACCTGAGTCATTTTGGAAGATGGAACCTCAATTTAGGAAATGCCCTCACCAAACTGACCTCTGGGCAAGCCTGTGGTACATTTCCTTGATTGATGATTCATGTGGGAAAACCCAGTTCACTGTGGGCGGTGCCAGTCGTGGGCTGGTGGTTCTGGGTGCTATATGAAAGCCAGCCATGGAGAGCGAGCCAGTAAGCAGCACTCTTCCGTGGCCTCTGTTTCAGCTCCTGCCTCCAGGTTCCTGCCCTGTGCTCTTACTGTGACTTCCCTCAGTGTTACCTGGAAGTGTTGGCAAAAGAAACCCTTTCCTCCCTAAGTTACTCTTTGGTCATGGTGTTTTATTGTAGCCATAGGAACCTTAGGACACCACTGCTTGTGGTGGTGAACCCACGCTGTTGAGACAGTAGGGAGCCCTCAGAGCACTGCCCGTAGCATTAACGTGCTCTGCTAATGGCGCTTCCAGGTGTAAGTTAAACGCAAGGCCTCAGATACGTATTTCTACCTTCACGTTCAGAGCAGCGTTATTTACAGCATCCCAAGGGCAGCAACAACCTGCGCCAGCTGACAAGTTTGAACAAAATGTGGGACGTTATCACACACAATGAAACTTAAAAAGAACTGGACTAGGACCTCTGCAAGACCAACAAGTGTTCTTTTGTTTGTTCGTTGGTTTGTTTCAAGACAAGGTCTCTCTGTGACTGTTCTGACTTGCTCTGTATATCAGGCTGGCCTTGAACTCGGCCATCAGCCTGCCTTTGCCTCCCAGGTGCTGGGATTAAAACTATGCACCACCACTGCCAAGTACAAGTGCTCGTAACCACCAAGCTAGCCCTCGTTTTTGTTTATTTTTATTTGTTTGTTTAGTTAGTGTCTGTGTCGAGTGTATGCACACACCTGTCTGCCAGAGGTGTGCATGCCTCTGCAAGCATGCAGGCCGGTGTCTTCTGTATCACTCGTGCCTATTCCTTTGAGGCAGGGTCTCTCCCTGAACGTAGAGCTCCTATTTTCTCTGCTAGACTGAAAGCTAGCAAGCCTCAGTGCCGCTTCTGCCCCTGTCCCCCAGGGAGCTTGGATTACAGGTGGTGGCACAAAGTGATTCTTACCCTTTCTAATAAATGTCTTAGTAGTTCTAGCATACACATTTATGTTATAAAAGGGCACGAGAGAAACCTTGGTGGGTGAGAGCCCAAAGCGAGTGAGAGCCCGCAGCAGGTGAGGGCCAGACAAATACACCATGCAGGCAGAGCTTGTGTGGGAGTTTGTTGAGAGAAAGGTAAAGGGGGAGGGAAGAGGGAAGGAGAAATACAGAGAGAAAGAGGAAGAAGACCAGGCTACCTCTTCAGAAGAGCTGTGGGAAGAGAGTGGGAATGGGCGGAGCTTGTCTCTTAAAGGGACCTTTTGCACCTGTGTGTATACACGTAGTGATGTAGCAGCCATAGGACCCTGGGTTGCCAGGCAACAGGGGCCAGTATAATGACTGAATCCTAACATTTATGTTTATAATCTATTAAAGATAATTTTTTGTTAATGCAATGATGAAAGGGTTGAGTAGTGTTCATTTCCTAAAGTGTATCCAGTTTGCTCAGAGCAGTTGTTGAAAACAACTATTTCTTCCTTGAATTATATTGTTGCTTTTGTCAAAAATCAATTGTATGGGGCTGGAGAGATGACTCAGCACCTAAGAAAACTGGGCTGCTTTACCAGAGACCCCAGGCTCAATTCCCAACATCCACATGGCCGCTCACAACTGACTGTAACTCCAGTTCCAGGGATTCTGATGCCCTCTTCTGGTTTCTTTAGGCACTGCAGGCACATGGGCACAGATGTGTATGTAGGCAAAATACCCATGCACATAAAATTAAAAAATTAAAAGAAAAAAAAAAGCCAGGCAGTGATGGCACATGCCTTTAATCCCAGCACTTAGGAGGCAGAGGCAGATGTATCTCTAAGTTCGAGGCCAGCCTGGTCTGCAGAGTGAGTTCCAGAACAGCCAGGACTACACAGAGAAAGAAATCTGGTTTTGAAAAAAAAAAAAAAAAAAAAAAAATCAGTTGTTTAAGTCTTCTGTTGGACCTTCTGCCCTACTCATCCATGTGTCTATTTTTAAAACAGGTGCGTGCTGTGGCTGTACTTATTATAAATAAAGCACTGCAGCTCCAGCCTTGAGTTTCTTCTAAGTTGTGTGGGTTAATCCAGGTCTTCACCATTTTGACATAAACACCACAAGGGTTTTGATGCATGGCATGCACTGTTCGCATAATCTCGAGGAAGCCTTACATTTTTAACAATATTGAATCCTCAAAGCAATGGAGGCGTTGTCTTCTCTGTCATGTCTTTGCATCTTGCAGGGCACGGTCCTTTACACACACTTAACCTTAAAAAGTATCCTAAAAGGAAACAAGAAACGGAAGAACATCGTAGAATCATGAAATATTAACGTCATACTAGAACAAGTGTAAACATTTAGGCAAATAAAACCCGTGTTGGTTGGGTTTGGTTAACTTGACACAGCCACCTGGAGTCTCCCCCTCCCACTGAACCAGTCACAAAGCTTCACTTCTGGGTGCCCTGCGGCAGGTTTGCCCTGAAGACTTCCCTAGCAAATAAAAATCTGAAAGTCATTCTTCGGCTTTTACAGGAAAAATAATCCTGAAAAATCACTTCCTTTTCTTACACACCTGGAAACATGATAGCGTTTCTAAATGCCATCAGGTTCATCAGTAAGTAGATGCCCATCACTGTCTGTCGGCATGAAGACTTGGGTCTGGTCCCCAGGATGCACTTGGTGGAAGGAGAGAACCGATTTCCGCAAGTTCTCCTGTCATCTCCATAGATGGTGCCGTGTACAATCTCTACCCCTAGACACGAAATAGAAACATGGAATGACTTTTGTAAAGTAGGAATGTGAGCTACTTGTCGAGGGTGACAGTACCCACAGTATTTTAGATATTTATCAAGCTCCATCACAAGGGCAGGAGTCTTACAGGCAGTGGCTCACGTGATCCCTGGAGCAGACTTCCTCAAAGCAGATGAGTATTCCCACTGCATATGTTTGAGGCCTGTAGGGGATTTGACCAAAGCAAGAGTTGGCCAGGAGTTGACGATACAGTACCAACTCTCGTGGAGATCTGTAGAGATTTCTATAGGGAATTACTTGTAACCTATAGCGGTCGTAGCATGCCCAAGGTTGCGTACAGAAACCACTCCACCTAGAGGTGAGTGGGCAGTGTTTCGTCCTCTGTCATGCCTTAGCCACGTATGACAGCGGCGAGATCTACTTATCAGTCTGCGTCCAGGAGGCACGGGTAAATTCAGAGCAGTAAGTGGGCCCCGCCTCCCAGACAGAACAGTGACCGTGCTGTGTTCTGAGCCGTTAAACTGTTCCTCAAAGTCCTTGGCAGCTGGCCCTTGTGAAGGAGGGAACCTGCGACAAGTCACCGGCTTTCCTCTCCCTCTGCTGACTGGCAGGTGAGGTGAGCTCCCTTTAGACTCAGGGCCACCTTCAGACACTCAGCATTTGCATCCATTTCCAGTTCAAGCTTTGGTTACCTGTCTCATGAAGTGTGTGATTGCTCAAATGAATACCTATATTCAGTGTGCCATAAGTTATGGTAAATTTTATACGCTATTTGTAAAATATATTTAATGCTTTCAAATATAAAATAAGCTATGTTAATCAGTGTTATAGACTAGGTATAAATTATTTTTCGGTTTTTAAATAGACTGTTTGGAAAAGCTATCTTAAACATTTTTTAAAAATCTATCTAAAAAATAGCCAGTTGTGATGGCAGACATCTTTAATCCTGGCTTTGGGAATCAAAGGCAAGCAGATGTCTGTGAGTTCAAAGCCCGTTTGGTCTACATAGTGAGCTCACACAGCCAAAGATACATAGTAAGACTGTCTCAAGAAAAAAAAAGTTAAAATATATGGCATTCTTCTTCTTTTTTTTTTTTTGCTTATAGTCTTTAATTTTTAAACGACTTTTTGAGGTTAGAATTATATCATTTCCTCCTTTTTCTGCCTCCAAAGCCTCCCATGTACACTTCTTCCACCATGTTCTCTTTCAAATTCATGGCCTCCTTGTCAATTATTGTTATACACACACACACACACACACACACACACACACACACACACACGGAGAAAGAGAGAGAGAGATTCCTAAATATATAAATACAACCTACTCAGTCTGTATAAATTACTGGTACATGTGTGTTTTGACCCGTTGGTATTGGATAACCAATTGGTGACTCTTCCTGGGGAAGATTGCTTCTCTGCTCTCAGCATCCCCTTCGTTGCCTGTAACTTCTCTGCTCTCAGCATCCCTTTGTTGCCTGTAGTTCTTTGTCTAGGGTTGAGACCTCATGATCTTTCCCCCATCCATGCTCGCGTGCCTATTGGCGTTCTTGTTCAGGATGGCGTTCTAATAGTAAGAAAATACAAGGAAAATGTAGGGCCGTCTTAGTTTGAAGAGTTTAGGTGTCTCCCCCGCTTTCTGTTAAAGCATCAGGCACCATGCGGGTGTGCCTGGGGCTAAGGAACTCCTGCCTTGAGTGTTGAATGCATCCAAGTGTCTTGGGGACATGCAAAGGTGTTCACTAGGGCAGATGTTGAGTAATGACGAGAGAGAAAATGCTTTGGAGGAAAATATGTCCTTCCTCCTCTCCTCAGGCCTTGCTGTAGGTCGACACAATTCTCGACATTTTCTCTAACTACTGTCAGAAGGAGTCTGACTCACCCGAGTCTTTGTGTCCGTTTTTAAGTAGCACCCCTTCTCCTTTCTAACTCAACGGTTTGGGATTGCCCGTCCTCTTTTCTGGACCTTGAATATGAGGACTGGAAATAGTAACTTGATTAACGCAACAAGATGCTTTAGAGCTTTTTCTAAAGCTTGTTCCTTTTGGCTCACTGCCAAACAGCAAAAGCCCAAACCGGGAAGTCAGCCTATAATCAAAATGGACACTTGATCTAACCCAAGAAAGAAGGTAAAATTGTTGGAAGACACTTTATGGGTTTGTCTCAGAGAAAGATACACAAGCAAAATGTAGCTTGGGACTGGAGAGATGGCTCACAGTGCTTACTCCTCTTGCAGAGAATCCAGATTCACACCCAACACTCCCATTGCAGCTCACAAGCATCTGTAATTTGAGTTCCAGGAGATCTGACGCCCTTTTCTGGCTGCCACAGGCATTGCATTCATGTGGTGTGTGTACACACACATAAAGAGCAAACACTCATACACATAAGATAAAAGTAAACATGTCTTTTCAAAGAAAAGAATGTAGCCCATTTTGGGGCCTGGCAAGATGGATGGGTGGGTAAAAGTGCTTGCCGTACAAACTTGGAGACCCAAGTTCAATCTCTGGAACCACAAAAAGGTAGAAAGAGAAAATAGACTCCCCAAAAGTTGTTCTCTGACTTCCCCATGTACACCATTACACAAGTGTGCCCATACATAGATTGTGTGCACATGCACACACTCAATAATTTAAACAAATGTAAATTATTTTAAGGCTATTTTAGTAACTCTTGTGTATATTTTAACTGGTGATTTATTTGGATTGAGATTTCCATCTGAGAGGCCGAATTATCAGTAACATAGGAAGAAGGAAGAGACACCAGTATGAAAGACCAAGAACCAATTAAAGTGCAAGATTTTAATGAGGTAAGAAATGAAAATGAAATAAGACACTCTGCTTTGAGACAGGTTTTTTTGTTGTTGTTTTGTCTTTCTTTTTTTTTTTTTTTTTTTTTTTTTGGTTTTTCGAGACAGGGTTTCTCTGTGGTTTTGGAGCCTGTCCTAGAACTAGCTCTTGTAGACCAGGCTGGTCTCGAACTCACAGAGATCCGCCTACCTCTGCCTCCCAAGTGCTGGGATTAAAGGCGTGCGCCACCACTGCCCGGCTGAGACAGGTTTTGTACAGCCAGGCTAACTACAAACTCACTATACAGCCAAGGCTACCCTTGAACTCCTAATCCTCCTGCTTCCACTCCCCATGCCCTGCTTGAAAAGATAATTCTTCAGTTCTATTTCTTAATACAAACCACATACGAATGAGCAAAACACTGCCAACAGGCCAAGGGAGAAAACACAGCTCTGGGGATGGTCCATCTCTAGCTCATTGTGATGAGCTTACCAAAGGCCTCCTCAGAGAAGTCAGTGAGGCTTGTGGGAACCACAGGGATGATCAAGCTTATTGTTTCACCTGGATGGGTGAGAGTTCAGAACAATGTGGTGCTTTGTCTCTGAGCACAGTGTCCATGGTTTTCATCAGGGGAAACTGAGGCTAATGGTGGAATAACCATCTCTTACACCATTGGTGCTAAAACACAGGCAGCACAGCTCTGCCTACCGGCTGTGTTTGCCCTGACAGCCTGTTCCTTCCATGGAGCTCGTCAAGGGGGCTCTCACTCTGTGCTCACTAAAGCACATTTGGATTTTAGGCTTCACACACAACAAGAAGTATGCATGGACACGGCTACATAGAGTAGATATGGTAAGAACTGGTAAGAGGTGGACTTGGAAGTGAACAATCGCTGTCTGACCTTGAGACGTGATGGAACCTCTGAGATTTACTGGTGTCCTATGGGGGGGGGGGACGTGTGATGATCCTTACATTCCTATCCCACGGTGCTCCTCCAGAGACAATGTGAGATTGTTCAGGTAGGGCCTTCACCATAGTGTCTGATGCTTAATAGACCCTCAGTGAATGTAGTCATTACAGTATTACCCCATTTGTCATCAGCATTGAATTTGGGAAGATTCCATCAGCATCTTACGTTGGGGGCCTGGGGAAATGGCTTAGGGCAGTGGTTCTCAACTCTCCTCATGTTGTGGTGACCCCCAACCATAAAATTATTTTCATTGCTACTTCATAACTGTAATTTTGCTACTGTTATTATTTGAAATATAAATATCTGATATGCAGGATGGCCTTAGATCACCCCCAGTGAAAGGGTCATTGATGTCCCCCTTTGGGGTCGACCTACAGGCTGAGAACCACTGGATTAGAGGGTACAGGTGCTTGCTGCTAAGCCTGACCACCTGAGTTTGACTCCTGGGACCCCCTCACATAGTGGAAGGAGAGAACTCACTCTCACAAACTGTCCTCTGACAAACATTATGATGTGTATGTTCTCCCTCCCACTAAATAAATCATGAAATTTAATATATCTCATGCATGATTAACATTTGTAAAAAATGTCTTCAAAATCACAAAGTATACCTGCCATGGGGGCTATGCTGTAGGCAGGATAAGGCTCACTATCAACTGACTTAGAGAGAAAAATATATCCTATGAACTAGTTTTCCTAAGTTTCTATAACCCACACATGACCTTAGCATTAAGTTAAGCAGGGGTTATCGTTATTAAATTTTACAGGTAACGGTGCTATTGTATAGTAGTTCATAAAGTGAATTATGCAAAATGCGTTTTACAGATACTGAAAATGAGCCAAGAGAATATTAAAATATTTGAGAGTGACTTGTCAGAGGAGAGACAGAAGCGACAGCAACTGGCGTCTGCCTTTCTTTCTATTCAGAAGTCCTTGAGAGTGGACAGTGAGGTATCACATTGCGGGTGGCGCTCTCTTCCTGTTTTTCTACTTGAAGGATTTCATGTGACCATTGGTTCCTATTGTTAAACAAACTGTGACCTTGGGGAGACTGATCAGTAGGTAAGAGCCCTTGCTATGCAAGCATGGAGTCCTGAATTTGAATCTCCAGCACCATGTAAAAAGTCAGGCATGACTACATGTGTCTGAAAGCTCAGCACTGGGGACAGATCACTGGCCAGTCAACCAAGCAGAAACAGCAGTCTGCCCACTCAGTGAGAAACCCTAAAATGAACAGGCAGGGAGTCATGGAGGAGGACACCCAGCTCTCTCTCATGCCCGGGCCGTGCAACACAATAAAGAAAATAGAACTTAGGCTGAGCCCTGTCATTTGGTACCAGTGGCTGTGTGACTTCCTTATAGTCCCAGAGGCTGGAAAGTCCTGGCCACCTTCTGTGTCCTCTTGACAGAGTGTGACCTATGTGTCTCTTCTCTTCTTAAGAGGGCTCCAACCTGTCAGACCAGGGCCCCACCCTTCTGTTCTCATTTGACTGGATTTAGGAGGCCCTCCCCGCTTGAAGCTTTTTTACAGCCCCAGCCCCACCTTCCATTCCCTCTGACGTGAAAACTTTCAGAGAATATCAAATAGCCCTTTCTCCTAAAGTGTCATATGATCTATTAGCTACTGGGTGTCACAAACTGTCACTCCCTCATCATCCCTCATCAAGCACTGCATATCCGTGTGGTCTGTGCGAAAGTGTGAGAAACTGCGTGACCTGCATTGAAACATACAGTCCGAGGATTGGAGGAAATGCTGGTTCATGAGTCACCGAGCACGCATTGTACAGCAGCAGGATCTGTAGTTAAGGGCACAAATCAGAGAGATGTGGGAAGTGGCTTCCCAGTTTTCTGGCTACCTGAGGTGAAGTTCCAGTAATCTGCCCAGCCCTAGTTTCAGAGGTAGCCTTGTTGGGGTGCAGAGCTGCACCCCACTGTAGCACGAAGTTCTACGAAAGACGCATTTTAAACTTGTTAGTTATTGTATGCGTATATATGGTAAGGGGAGAACACATTGTCACTGCACAAGTGCTGAGGCCGGAGGACCACTCTGGAGCCAGTTTTCTCCATCTTTTACATGGATTCCAGGGATCAGATTTAGGTCCCCAGGCTTGCATGGCAAACTTGTGCACCCACTGAGCCATCTTGTCAGCCCTATATTTTTAAAGCAAATAAATATTTAATGCGGGAGCTGATGAAGATTTTACCTTTATCCAAGCTTTGCTTTAATGAGTGTGGACACCCACTCTTTCAGCCTGTAAATACTGAAACACTGCATTTGGTAACATATAATGGTGAACAGTTTGTTAGGACCATTTCATAAATCCTTTGTTGAAACTTTATTCCTTTGCAGGGAAATAGACTTGATTTATCCTATAAAATATCTTCTTTTCTTTTTTGTTTTTTTAATGTTTTTATTTTTTAACTTTAAAAACTTTATTGTTTAAAACAATTTTAGATTTAAATATATTTTTATTATAAAAAAATCTTCATTTGTTAAACAGGAATTCCAAAAATCAAAGTCAGAACTCCTGTGCCTTTATAAGGAAATTCAAAATCTTCCAAGGGCTGAGGGCAGAGACCAGTTTTTAGTAGCATATAAGCTGCTACAAAGAGAGAATTCTGAATTAGAAGCCAAGGTGAGATTGAATTATTGATTACTTGCATGTTCAATATTTAACATGTCTTGTGTGTGAGTGGAATAAACGGAAACTTTAAGTAGCAGATTTAGAAATCAAAGTTCCTTTTACTACCATATAACAAAAGGACGTATGGCGTGGGTTATAAGTCAGGGCAAACATTTAGACTTCCACCGCCTAGATGTCTGACCTTAAATCAGCTCCCGCCAACTAAATTTCTGGAGTGTGGATTATGGTATGGAATGCAGGGAGGAAACGGTCCAGAATCCAGGGAGGTGGTGGGGGAACGGTCACAAGCAGCCTTTGCCTGTGGGACACTGTTAGCAGGGTGAGCCATCGGCACCCTGAGCAGTCAGCCCTACCCCTTAACAGAAACAGAGAAGAGGATGGAGAGGAGGAGGAGATAGTGATGGAGGAGGAGATGATTGGAGGAGGAGGAAGAAAAGGAGGAGGAGGAGAAGAGATAATGATGGAGGAGGAGGTGAAGAGGAGGAAGAAATAGTGATGGAGGAAGAGATGATTGGCAGAGGAGGAGGAAGGGGAGCAGAAAGAGAAGAAGAGATAATTGGAGGAGGAGGTGAAGAGAAGATAATTGGAGGAGGAGGTGAAGAGGAGAACAACAACTCAAACCATTTCTAGTCCAAGATACAATATAAGATCACTGAAAGCTTTTTAAGCCCCTGAATCTGCCCACAGGAGTTGTCTGTCTGTCTGTCTATGAGGTTTTTGAAGAAGTCTTTGGCAGCTTGAGCAGAAAGCATAGACTGGGCAGTTTAAATGACAAGCTCTGCAGGCTGGGAGTTCACAGTCAGGGCACCAGTGATCCCCATTTGGTGAAGGCTGCAGATAGCCATCTCTGCTGGCTCTTTCCTCCTCCTCATGCATGATATATGTGTGCACACAAATGTTCATGTGTGTGAGTGTGGACATGCTCGTGCCACAACATGGGCGGGATCAACCTCAGCTGGCCTTCCAGTTGGTTTGAGTTAGGGTTTCCTATTTTTTGTTACTGTCTATGCTAGGCTAGCTGGTCTGCAAGTTCTGTGTATCCTCCTGACTCTGCCCCATCATGTTGTAGGAGCGCTGAGATTCTACACACACTTCCACCCTCCACGCACCCCCACGCATCCCCCTATCACATCTGACTTTACGAGAGTTCTGGGGCTCCAAATTCAGGTCCTATGCTTTCACTTCAAATGCTCTACCCCAAGCCATCTCCCCAGCCCAGATGGTTCTCATAAGAATACCAATGTCATCATGAGCGCTCCGCCCCTGTGCTTCCTAAGGTCTTCTCCTGAGGCCACCTTATTGAGGGTGAGGGCTTCATGTTTTTAAATTTTATTTATTTTTTGTATGCTTTTAGCTATGAGTGCTCTGTCTGCATGTGCATGCTAGAAGAGGGCTTCGGATCCCATTACAGATGGTTGTGAGCCACCATGTGGTTGGGGGGAATTGAACTCAGGACCTCTGGAAGAGCAGCAGTGCTCTTAACCTCTGAGCCATCTCTCCAGTTCCAGGTTTCATTTTCAGTTTAGGGATTTTGAAAGAGTCACAGCCTGTTATTTGGAGGAACGTCCTTCTGTTTGGGTTTGTCTGCTGTTTCCCCACAGTATAATGCAAGTTGCTCATGCTGGACAGGAGTCCTGTGGAAATGATGTCTCCTTCCTAGGACGTTTATATTGGGAGACTCGAGCTACATTGTTGTGCTGATCTTGGTTTAGCTGAGATGCTCTCTGTTGTGTCCACTGTAAAATTTATCGAGTTTCCCTTTGCAATGGATGGCTTCTTTAGGATGCTGCATTCTTGCCCATCAAACTATTGCTCATGAAAAGTTTTCGTTTTGAGCCTCTGCATCTTGACCAACCCCAAAGCTTCTCTTCGGAACACACGGTGCTCTAGACTTGAAGGCATCCTGCTCGGCAGAAGGCGGGCTGTGACTTATGGACTTGCCAAAGCTTCTTATTTCACAGACTTTGTCTGGGTCACATCTAGACTCATCGCACAGAAATTTGTAGCAGAAATAGGTGTGATCATGTAGGCCAGCTCATTCAGTTTATAAAAAAAACGCAGGGGCCCTGGTCAATTGAACTACCCCCAAGTTGCTTGGCATTTCTCAGCCTGTGCTCTTTCTGTCCTACCTACCCTAAGGTCTCACAGACTGGAGCACTGACCTTAGTTCTTTGGTATTTAGACGTGGCTGCTGATTAGACTGAACTGTCAGCACTAAGATCAAATGGAAGTTTGTCCTTTCCCACGTCATCCAGCTACTAGACGGGCCAAAGGGGTTACCTTTCTTCATGATAAATAGCAACATTTGGGGGCTGGAGAAATGACTTGATGCTTAGGAGCACCTATTGCTCATTCAGTGGACCCCAGTTTCATTCCCAGCACCCACATCGAGAGGCTCACAACTGCCTGTAATTCCAGCTCCAGGGGACCTGATTTCCTTTTCTGAATTACCAGGCAACTGCGTGTACAAGCACAAATATACACATAATTTTAAAAAGATGAAAAGAAATATTTTTTTAAAGAAAAGAGAACTTCCAACTGCTTGAGACATCCCAACGTTGTATGTGGGTCCAGAGGACCCAGAAAATGCTTGGTGTTTGTGTTACTATTGTTTTTAATTTGCTTGAGTATTCATCCCAAATTCTGCTGCCTGCTGTCCTTTAAAAAGTAGGATTTATTGTCATTATGTAATGTTTGCATTTTCAGAATAACTGTAAAAACTAAGTAGCATTTTGGAATTTATTTTCCTGCTTGCAAAATTAATATATGTTCATTAGGAAAACCATCTCCCAGCTGGGCAGTGGTGGCACACGCCTTTAATCCCAGCACTCAGGAGGCAGAGGCAGGCAGATGTCTGTGAGTTCAAAGCCAGCCTGGTCTACAAGAACTAGTTCCAGGACAGGCTCCAAAGCTACAGAGAAACCCTGTCTCAAAGAAAAGAAGGAAGGAAGGAAGGAAGGAAGGAAGGAAGGAAGGAAGGGAGGGAGGGAGGAAGGGGAAGGAAGGAAACCATGTCCAAGGTTCTCCCCCGCTGCCTGTCTTCCTGTCCCCTCTCATGATGTGGCTTCTCCCTCCTCTTCAAAGCAACTTGAGTCAGCTGTGTGTCTTTGACCACATGCTCCCCACGCTTCAAATAAGCCATCCATAGCCTCCCACTTCCGAGGTTCAAGGCCCGCCTTCACTGGAAAGTGACAGCCCTTGGGGGAGATATGTGGACTGAAGTCTATACTGCAGTCTGTAGTTCCTTTTGAGAGGACTGGAAAGTCTTAGGAGACCAAGGGAATCCCTTAAAGTACATGGAAATTAAGCTTTAGATTTAATTCCTTGGCTCTTGGAATCAAGCACAATTACTGTAAGACCTTTGCGTTTGCAGAGAAGCAGCTGTTTGCTCTAATTGAGGACTGTGATGGGAACCATCTTCTGTTCATAGAACTATTTCCCAGCCAACCTCTCTGCTGGAAGGAGGTCTGCTTGGATTTCGTGTGAACACACCACTAGACGCCACTGAGGAGGGGAAACTACAGAGTCTTCTAAGAGCAAACAAGCAGAAATTAATGTTTTACTTAGTCCTGCCAGATTCTCCTAGGAACCTGATGCAGGTTCTCGTTTCCACCCAGACACTGAGCCTGGGCTCACAGTAGCCTTTTAAATAAACTGTCCCATAGGCTGACATTTAGGGGCCACCGCAGTCACCAAGAAACCTTTACAGTTCAAGTGTTTTCAAATAAATAGGGTCAGCCTGAAAGAAATGTCCCTTTTATAAATAGCCTTCTACTCTTTTCTCGAAGCAACATGTTACTGCTTTATGAATCAGAGAAGAACAGTCAAAACGTGGGCACGAAAGTGTGTGGAGAACTTGTCAGAGCCTAATTCTTTGTTCCTGTTTAAAGGTACAGCCCCTTAGAATCAGCAATCAATCGACATGCCAACACCAAAGACCAAACTACCTGTTGGTTTGTTTGGTTGGTTGGTTAAATCATGGAGTTACGTACAGTCTACTGTAAGCATGGATTACGTCATGACACCTACTGAGTATTTAACTAGATTGTAATAAGACTTACTGTAGGGCACCGGTTTGACTAGCGTAAGGCAGTAATGAAGCATTTGGTGGCGTCAATATGCTTTTTTTCACCGACGTACAAGTTTGCAAAATAGGACAATTGCTTTTTTACTTAACTTTACAGGTCTTGAAGTTTTCACAAGAATTGGAACAGTTAAAATATTGCTCTGTAGGGGACAGAACTGCTAATTTAATGACAAGCAAGAAGCTCTGTGAAGATCTGGTGTCTAAAGTGCCACTTTTGGGAGTAGAGGTTCTGAGCCCAAGTGAAGAAAGACAGGCACTCTGGTAAATTGAGAAACTCCCGAACACAGCAGTAATTGGAGGGGGGTTTAATTTGGCTTGGTTATCTGAAAGATTTGATGTTCCTTTTCAAGAGATGTAATCACAAAAGAAAATTAGTTCTGAGCATTTCCTAGAGTTTGCCTTTTTTTTTTTTAAACCCTGTGTGTTGAGTGCTATGGAAGAGAACAGGTGGGCTGGGCAGTGTCTAGGGCACCGCTTGCAGCATAGGGCAGAGGGATGGCAGCATGCCACTTTCTGATTTAGCACTAACATTACAGTCTGAAAGTTTCCCTCTTGCTTTTGAAAGTTAGTACGGGCTTCCTGCTGGAAGGAAGGAAGCACGTAAAAGTAAAAGTGGGTTACAATAACCCACAATCCTCTTCAGGGAGAGACATCCACCCACCTCCCTTCTGTGCACACAAGTATGCAGGTAAATTGGGTTTTGTCTTGTTTGTTTGTTTGGTTGTTTAGTTTAGTTTTTGAGACAGGGTTTCTCTGTATAATGGTCCTCACTGTCCTGGAACTCACTCTGTAGATTGTAGGTGAGGTTTCCTGTCCCGACTGCCTGGTCCCAAATAACCAACTCAAAGGCTGAATATGAATTATAAACACTTGACCGATAGCTCAGGCTTATCACCAGCTCACTCTTACACTTAAATTAGCACATATTTCTAGTTATGCTTTACCACGTGACTCATGGCTTGTTGCCTTACTTTTACACATCCTGCTTCATTGGTGACTGGCTGGCATCTTCCTGACTCTGCCCTCCTTCTTCCCATCAATCTTAGTTTGGCTTTTCCACCTAACTTCCTGCCCAGCTACCGGCCTGTCAGCTTTTTATTAACCAATGAGAACAATACATATTCATAGTGTAGAAAAGGATTGTTCCACAGCACTAGACCAGACTGGACTTGAACTCACAGAGATCTGCCTGTCTCTGCCTCCCTAGTGCTAGGATTAATGACCTGCACCACTGCTGCCCGCAGTGAGTTGTTTTTACACAATCAAAGCTGTGCTCTGTAAGGAGTTTCTGTTTTGCTGACCTTATTTGACATTATATCTGATAATTGAGTTTTCAGAACTCTTCTCTTTTATACATTTGTTTAATTTTGCTACCTAACTCTGTTTTTACAAATTCTAACCAAAATGATCCTTCACAGGAGTTTTGGAGACTTTGGGCAAATGGTCTGCTCTAATCTGGCACAAAAACTAATAGAAACAAATGGCTTTGTGTGGACAAAAGTCGAAAGGTCACGGAGAAGGAAGCAGTAGAAGCCCATGCTCCTTAGACATTGACCTAAAGGGCAGCCTTTTTTGTCTATTTTTATTTTTATTGAGCTCTACATTTTTCTCTGCTCCCCTCCCTGCCTCTCCCCTCCCCCCTTCAACCCTCTCCCAAGGTCTCCATGCTCCTGATTTACTCAGGAGATCTTGTCTTTTTCTACTGCCCAAGGAGATTGGGGCCTAATGTCACCAAATTTATTTCTGCATGCATGTTCTCAGATAGATACTGCTCCGGATTTTCCTGCTATGTTAAAAATTTCTTTTAACTTAAGAATTAGCTTGGAAAAAAAAAAGAATTAGCTTGGAGTCCAAGATTCTCAAGCAGGAAACTGAGGGGGGGGGCGGGGAAGGCATCTTTGGAAGATGGGATTGGCAGGTGTGGGATGGGACAGGCATCTTGGAGAGATGGGGGCAGTTCTCTGATAGTGAGCCCCAAAACAAGGAACTGAGAAGCTGGCTCGCCATGTTTTGGTTTGGTGGAGGGATCAAGAAAGCCTAATTCTAGAACACGGGGACAGTGTGACAGGTTTCAAGGGAAGTTGTCCTAGCAGCTCCTTAGATGAAGATGGAAGGTTACAGGCAGGTCGGTTAATCCATTGTGAGCCACAGATGAAGAAACAGTAGCCTGGAGCAAGAAGCTGTCAGGATGTAGCAGTCACCTGGAAATGCTTCCCGGAAAGAACTGACAATATCAGGCAGAACTGCTCAACCATGCCTGGCTGCACTGGGTCACCAGTGGCGAGATTTGCCGCGGTAGCAAGGCTGCTTGGTGCCTTCGTCCCTCTACGATGGGAAGTCTGCCAGGAGAGACTCTGGGCTTCTTTCTAGACTCCTTCCCACCCTTTTATGTTTTTTAGTTTTATGGCTTGGCCCAAACTACTTCCCATTGCTGGGACTACGAGAACTCTAGCTGTCTGCCCCCTGCTTGCCTCTCTCCTGTCTCGTTACCTGTGCGCCTTGGCAGGTGCCACTTCAGTCAGACCTGGAACACAACCACATTCAGCATTAACCATTTGTCCACTGTGTGCAGATGCTCCAACCAGAGGCAGGGCACAAACTGAGACAGGTTTAACATTGTGTCTGATGGGAGGAGGTAGTTAAATGAGGTGGTGTTGGCTTCGTAGTCTGTCAAGGGCCAAATGGGGGCGCAGGGTGACAGAGACAGAGACAGGGGAAGAGAGACAGCAGAACATGATATTAAGGGGACATAGGTTTGTGTGAGGTCGTTTAGAAGAACTCTAAGTAAGGGGGACAGTGAGAACCAGATGCAGACAGAATCCCGAACAGATAAGTACATGGGATGCTTATATCAGGGAAGTGTTTGCTTGCTGGTTTTGCAATATTGGGGTTAATCATGGGGCATCACGTGTGCTAAGGAAGCACCTAACACTGAGCTATGTCCACAACCCTTGTTAGGAATTTCGACAATAAAAACCTCCTTTAGAGTTTAGCAGCCTGGGCAAAACAATAGGTTAGTGTTTTAGGAAAATCACACTGCCTGCTGTGTAAAATTCAATGGGACTTTTGGGATTAGTGACTCTAACTGGGATGGAGAAGATATGGTACCTTGAGTATGGGGAAAGGATTAAACTTAATGTTAAAGGTGCCCAGGGAGATGGCTCAGGCAGTGAAGGGCTTGCCAGGCAAGCGTGAGGACCTAAGTTCAGATCTCCAGCACCCACGTAAAAGCCAGGCATAGTGATGTTCACCTGTCCCTCTACTGGTTTGACATGTGGAAACGGAAGGGTTCCCAGAACTCACAGGCTAGCTCATCTAGCTAAATTGGTGAGTTCTAGGTTCGGTGAGAGACCCCCCATCTCAAACAATAAGGGGAGGGCCAGCGAAATGCTCAGGAGGGAAGGGTGCTTGTCAGCAAGCCCAAGTTTGATCACTAGAACCTACGTGACAGAAAGATAGAACTGACTCCCACAGGTCGTCCTCTGACTTCCACATGTGCGTGCGCACGCGCGCGCACACACACACACACACTTAAATGTAATGCAATTTTAAATAAAATAACTTGAATTCCAGCTAGATTGTTTTGTTTTCTGATTTGGGGAACATGTCTATAACAAAATACTTGAGACTGAATTTTTGAAGACTTTCTTTAGCTCACGGTTCTAGGGGTTCAGAAGGACGGCACCCATCTCTGGCGAGAGCCTTCCAGCAGATGGCATTACAGCAGAAGGAACACGCACAAGAAGGGATTACATGGCAAGTCTAGAAGCCAGAGAGAAAGGAGGGGAGAGCCATGTTCTTTTCCCCTGTGTGTGTACATGTGTGTACATGATTGCTTGTGTAGAGGTGTGCGTGCGTGTTTGTGTGCCTGCATGTCAAGGCCCGAGGTGCTGTCTGGAGTCCTCCTCGACTGCCTTTCCATCTTGCTGTTGAAGCGTACCTCAGTTAAACTGGCTCGCTGGCTGGCTTGCTCAGGAGCGATCCCCTTGGGGGAAACAATAAAACCATGTCCAAACAGGAGCAGTGTGTCTCCACGAGCTGCTGCTTTAAAACACATTATTATGGGCAGCATTGAACACTGAGCTTTTCTTCTTATGAGTTATTTTATGTAGTTATATAATTACAATATATTCATGGAGACTGGGGTTACAGCTCAGTAAATACAACAGCACCTTCCTAGCGTGCATGAAATCCTAGATCCAGTTCGCAGCACCACACAATGTATGTTCATGGCTACAATTTTTCAGATTCTCAACATTTTAATACAGCTCAGGGCTTTCTTTTTTGATCAATTATTTTTATGTGTATGGATGCTTTGCCTGCATGTGTGTCTGTACATCACATGCATGCCTGGCACCTCTCTGGTGGCTGGAAGAAGAAAGCAGAATCCCTGGAACTGGAGTTACAGATGGTTTTCAACTGTCAACTAGATATTTAACCCAGGTCCTCTGGAAGAGCAACCAGTGCTCGTAACTGCTGAGCCGTCTCTCCAGCCTCAGATTCTAAACATTTTTGTGGCTCTTGAATTGTGTTGCCAGCTGCCTTCTTGAATGTGAGTAGCAACTATGACTGGTGAAGCTTGCAATGCTGGGCTCCAAGGTGCCCCAAGCAAACTTCAGATTGAGGAATTAGAAATAAATGGGGCTGGGGTGTAGCTTCGTGGCAGAGTGCTTACCTAGCATGCAGAAAACTCTGCCCCAAAAGAAAGATAGCAGAAGCAAAATGCAGCCAAACCACCCAGCATGCTTGTGTGCACTGTAATCTATACATTCTCTGAGGGCTGAAGCTGTGCCCCTCCTTCTGTTTGTGTGGCTTAAATTCTCAAGGATGCCCCCTCTTTCTCTGGCTTTCCAGCCCCTTCTGCTTGCTCCTTACAAGCCTTTGGCCTCCATCTGAGATGACCCCTTCACCCATCATCCCCCCCTCTTCTGTGTCCTTGGGTTCAAGGCCAAGGTTTCTGCCCCTGCTTCCCTGTGTCCGGATCCTCAAGCATTCCTTATGCACACCCTGCCAGCCTAGTCCACCCTCCAGTCGTGAGTTTGCTCCAGATAGAAATCCAGATGTTGCCTTGTCTCCCTCACCCGCCTCATCTGGCTGATGGTGAATGTCATGAACACCAACCAAAAGTCTCTCCAGACCCAGTCCTGGTTCCCACCCCTGATTTTTATTACTTTTATTATGTGGATGGAGACAACAGTCTCTCATCAAGGTTCCCTGGCATGTTTTTTTTTTTATTTAAAATCAAAAATAAAAGCAAACCCATTTACTTAACTGGGGAACAGGAGGTGCAAGCATGCCACAGCACCTTTGTGGAGATGAGAGGACAACTTAAAGGGCTTGATTCTCTCCTTCTACCATGTGAGTCCCAAGGATTGAACTCAGATTGTCAGGCTTGGCAACAAGCACCTTTCCCCACTGAACCATCTTGCTGGCCCCTGCAGATCTCATTTGTTAAATCATCCTGGGATACTTTGTTCTCCCATGTTCCTATCTGTACTAAAATCTCCTACCAACATCCGTGCAAACACACGTACACTTTTACTCCTGTCCTTCGTTATCTCATGTCAATGATTAACCAAGCCATATATCACTGCTCAGCCTAATTACCATCTAGATAGCCTTATTTCTCAATTATAAACCTCTTACAGCCCACTGTAGCCTCGTTGCCTATTGAAGTATCTGCTTTTAAGTGGCACTTGGAACTCTCTATGACCTGAATCTAGTTGCCCAGCGCAATACTAAAAGTCCAGAAAGGACAAAAAAAATTTAAACTGGTCATTGGGTTGTAAATGAAAATGTATGATGGGTCATCTCCTTGACTATGAGTGAAAACATAAGTCATTGCTATAAACCGCACCCAGAACAACTTCCAGCCTTGCAATTCACGTTTGAAAAAAAAAAGATTCCTCTAGCGTGTAGGATTTTCTTCACTCGTCTGCAACAAGAATATTTGTTTGATAGTTTTTTTTTATTGTTATATCTGTGCCAAGTTCCAAACTAGGAGAAAGTAAGCAGGAAGAAATGCCAGCGTTGTCAGTGAAGGCGGCCACTTCCCCAAGAGAGAGGCGGGAGGAACCGCAGCAGAATGGAGACTGGAGAGGCCATGTGCGGCTGTTGGCCGTGGAGCGCAGAGAAGCTGGGAGGCTTGGAGAAGAGCTGAGCCTCCAGCCTCAGAGCTGTGGGGATAGTTCAGATGACAGTAGCACCCAGGTAGGTGCTGCAGACACACGCTCCGGGCCTGGTCCCTCTGACTAGCCCTGGAGACAAGGCTAAGCATCGTTTTTACCATTTCCTTTCTTAATGTCTGTTTCTTCTATAACATTACAGCCGTGGCTTGACTGGTAATAAACTTACAACCGAAATCTGAACCTGTTGATTCACTTCATTATTGAAGGGTTGCTTTTTTAGTTCTGGGGGAAGAGCAATGCGGCCCCGTTGAGCGGGTTCTCTCCTAAATGCAGCCCTGTTGAGCAGGTTCTCTCCTCCTGCCTCCCTGTGGGTTTTTGACTATGGGCCGTAATCTCAAGGCAGACTCAGAAGGAACACATCTGCCTCCGGCAGGTGGAGTGGAGGGTCGGCAGCGTATGTGCCACCCTCCTATTGCAGGGAGCTTAGTGAACCAAGTGTTCCTTTTATTAGAGAAAATGGCATCAGAGGATGGTTCTAAATATGGCCCCTTGCTATTGACTGCAGGTCTGCCTGTAAGAGAGTTAAAGGGAGTGGCCGCCAGCCCCACTTTGGTTCTTAATCTTATAGGACTCCATTGTACAAAGTACAATTTCTCTGTAGCTACCTTCCCAGAAATTACCTTGTGAGCCTCAGAGGACTGTTGGATTTGCGGGTAAACCACCTTCAAAGGGCTGATGAAATGCCAGGTGCTATCCTTCTAGCCCAGAATTTCAGAGGCAGAGGCAAGAGGATCAAGAGTTCTAGGTCACCCTCTTGTTACTTAGTGACTTTGAGTCTAGCCTAGACTGTAAAAGAACAAAAAAGGTTGACAATATGTACTTGAGAAGTAAGTCAAGGGAATGCTTTACAAAAAGGAAGGCTGGAGAGTTGACTCAGAAGTTTAGAGTGAGTACTTCTGGGGCTGGAAAGATGGCTCAGAGGTTAAGAACACTTTCTGTTCTTCCAGAGGTCCTGAGTTCAATTCCCAGCAACCACATGGTGGCTCACAACCATCTATAATGAGATATGGTGCCCTCTTCTAGCCTACAGGCATTCATACAGACAGAATACTGTATGCACAATAAATAAATTTTAAAGAGTAAGTACTGCTCTTGCAGAGAACTTGAACTCAAGCCCCAGAACCCACAGTGGGTGACTCACAACTGCTTGTAACTCCAGCTCAAAGGGGATTTAGCATCTTTGGCCTCAGGGTACTTGTAGTCACACGTACAGATACACCCAGAGAGAGACATAGACCAACTTTTTATTTTTATTATTTATTTATTTTGAAGCAGTGTCTCACTGTGTAACCTTGGCTGGTCTGGAACTCTATAGAGGCCGGGATGAGTCACAAAGATCTGCATGCCTCTCCAGAGTGCTAGGACTAGAGGCATGGGACACCAGGACCTACTCAAAATAAGTTTTTGGTTTTGTTTTTTTTGTGTTTGTTTGTTTTAGTGTTTTGTTTTGTTTCAAGACAGGGTTGCTTTGTATAGCCTTGGCTGTCATGGAACTAGCTCTATAGACCTCCAACTCATAGAGATTCACCTGTCTCTGCCTCCCGAGCGCTGGGATTAAAGGTGACTACCACCACCCAGCTAGTTTATTTGTTGTTCGGAGTTTTATTCTTGTTGGTTTGGTTAGTTTTGGGGGTCAGGGTGTTGCTTTGCCATGAGGCTGGCCTGAAATTCAATATATAGCCCAGGCTAGCCTCAAACTCATAGTCTTCTTAGCTCACTCCTGAGCAATGGAATCACTGGTGTGCCATCAAGCTCAGACTATATATTCACCTGCGTGTAACTTAATGTCTGAAAGGTAATTGCTGACTAATTTGTTGGTTTAATGTATCTTTCCCCTTGGTTTGAAGCACTTATTCATCAACACCTAGTAACTGAGATCAAAACTGGGGGGGGGGAGTGGAGGGAGGGTGGTGGGGAAGAATAGGAGCGCAGGGAATGGGGTTGGATTGATCAGAATTTTATATACATGTATGACATTCTCAAACAACAGAAACAGGGACACTCTCACAATAATGGCACATAGACAGCTTGGAACTACAAAATACACAAAATTTTCTAAGAAAATTTTGAGCCTCGCCACTTTGTGGAAGGGCAGATAGTTCTACATCTCACACAGCCTCTTGGGACTTCATTCTAGCATAGTTCCGTAGGTTTTCCCCTAATGACTGGGAGTTACTGAAAAAGTTGAAGTTCTTATGTCTTCAACCAAACCGTTTTGTGTGGGATGCAGTGGACATAGGTGATGGAGCTAACACCACATTAGGGTCCAGCTAGATGGTTTGTGGTCCAGCAGGACCCGCTCTTTCTACCTGGTCATGCTAAGCTCAAGGTGAATGTTTAGCGCGTTGGAGGGGTGCCCAGCACTGTCGAAGTTTCCCCTAAGTTGAAAGGTTCTGTATCAAGTGACTGGGGCGTCCACTCACACTGCCCAAGCAGACCACAGGGACCACTCTGAGTTGTCGTCATCTGCCTGCGCATGTCGGTTGTCATAGAGTTCTCTATGCCGTGTATTGTCTCTGTGTTAGACAAGCTCAGTGTCTGAAGATGATCTAGAGAGCTGTATCACCTTTATAAACAGGACCAGGACCTAAAGCCCACCTTACGGCAGCTTCCAAACAGACGCCAGCTCACATGCCTCAGCTTTGCCCAGGAAGTTGGCAGCCGGAGATCTCCCTCCTTGTCTTCCAAGGCTGTTCTCTGTCTCATGTCTCCCAGGGGATGTGCGGCATCTCTATGGGGCTCACCATACAGCACTTGGAATAGTTGGGTTTGGGGACATAACAATTGCTTGGTCTTGGTTGTTCTGGGTGAAAAATGTGAAAAATTTAGGGGAAAGATATTAGATTCTATTTTTTTTTAATTAAAAAGAAAATGTGTGTGGGTTTTTTGCCTGCATGTATGTATGTCTGTGCGCCCTGAGACTGGAGTCACACATTGTTGCAAACCTCCTTGTGGGTTCTGGGAATCAAACCCAGGTCCTCTGAAAGAGTAATTTGTGCTCTTAACCAGTGAGCTTCTCAATGTTATTTTTAAATGCAGTTATTGACATGGTTTGAATTGCATAGGCTCAAATGTTTGAATGAGTGGTCCCCAGTTGGTGGGAAGGTTTGGGAAAACTGAGATGTTATTGGAGAAGGTATGTCACTAGGGACAGGTGTAAGATTTCAAAAGACTAGCACCATTTCCTTCCCAATGTGCTCTCTGTCTCTTGCTTGTAGTTGGAGATGTGATTTGTGCTCTTAGCTGCTCCTGCCACCATTGTCTTTGCTCCACCATCATGGACTCTAGCCCCTGGGACCATATGTCTAATTAAATTGCCTTTTTCTTTTTCTTTCTTTCTTACTTTCTTCCTTTTTTATTTCTTTCTTTCTTCCTTTCTATTTATTTACTTACTTACTTATTTTGGTTGTTTGAGACAGGGTTTCTCTATGTAGCTTTGGAGCCTGTCCTGGAACTCACTCTGTAGACCAAGCTGGCCTTGAACTCACAGAGATCTGCCTGCCTCTGCCTCCCAAGTACTGGGATTAAAGACTTGTACCACCACCACTTGGCTATGCTTTCTTTTATAAGTTGCCTTGGTCATAGTGTTTTATTTTTTTTTATTTTTTTTTAAATATTTATTTATTTATTATGTATACAATATTCTGTCTGTGTGTATGTCTGCTGGCCAGAAGAGGGCACCAGACCTCATTACAGATGGTTGTGAGCCACCATGTGGTTGCCGGGAATTGAACTCAGGACCTCTGGAAGAACAGGCAATGCTCTTAACCACTGAGCCATCTCTCCAGCCCGGTCATAGTGTTTTATGATAGCAACAGAAAAGTAACAAATGGGGCTGGAGAGGTGGCTCAGTGGTTAAGAGCACTGGCTGTTCTTCCAGAAAACCCAGGTTCAATTCCCAGCAACCACATGGCAGCTCACAACTGTCTGTAATTCCAGCTCCAGGGGATTCAACAACCTCATACAGATATAAATGCAGGCAAAACCCTAATGCACATAAAATAAAAAAAAACAAATCATTAAAAAATAAAAGGTAACTAAGACCCCATACAATGTAAGCATTTGAAATAGGTGCTTCAGTTGTCACCTTAGAAACAGCGTCTGTTCTGTTCTAGCCTTTTTCTGTTGCTGGGATAAAACGCTCTGACAGAAGCAACTTAGAGGAGAGTGTTTGGCTTCCAAGTCACAGTCCATCACTGAGGGTGGGCAGGGCAGGAGCTCAAGCAGAGACTGAAGGCGGCCACTGTCATTCCACACAGCATTGCCTCTACTAACGCACTCCCAGCAGAGGAAGAACAGCAGAAACCACGCAGGAGCTCTGCTTGGTGGATGGCACAGACTCCACCAGCTTCCTTAACCACCTGCCCAGGGAATGGTGCCGCCCATGGTCAACTAACAATCAATCAGTATCCCACTGTGAAAACAGAACTTCCTTCTGGAGTAGTTTGGCCAAGAGGGAACCCAAATTTGAATTTCCTACTTCCTTCCATCTGTGGTCTGCGGGTGGTCTATCTGTGGTGTGTGTGTGTGTGTGTGTGTGTGTGTGTGTGTGTGTGATGTGTCCTTAATTGCCTGTTTGTTGTGCCTGTAACCTATGTCTGTGCCTAAAGAGGATTTCTCTGTATTTATTGAGTAGCACAGAAAATAAGAAATGGAATATACTTTTTTAGAGCTCTTTACCAGAGCTTTACAAGCGAAGAGGTTATTTACTGACCCCAGTGGATCAAGACCTCACACGGATATTATCAACCTGTATCCATGTGTTGCTTCCAACATTTATGGGATATTTATTTTGTTTAAGGTTGCTTTCAATCTGCTAGCTATTTTCAGCAAATGATCACCACCTCCACCACCACCACCACTGCCACCTACACAGACACACACACAAAATATGGCATTATTCTCTGTCAAAGTATGGAAGAGTCCATAATTTAAGATTAAAGCTGTGTATTTAACTTAGGCAAGTAAAAGCCGGTTGTGTGGGAAATCCAAGGCATAGTAAGGTTGGTTAGATTGGTCTCTTAAAGGCTGGTTAAACCTAGGCTGAGTCCACGTAGGACAGCAGGCTAAGTGCATCATTTCTTCAGTTATCTCGAGGCATGTTATTAACTCGGCTACAAGATCAGACAGAAGTCCAGGAGGCAGAGGCAAGCAGATCTCTGAGTTTGAGGCAGCCTTGTCTACAGAGAGAGGTCCAGGACATCCAGGGTTACACAGAGAAACCTTGTCTTGAGAAAAAAAAAAAAAAAGCCGGGCGGTGAACACCTTTAATCCCAACTCTTGGGAGGCAGAGGCAGGTGGATCTCTGTGAGTTCAAAAGTCAACCTGGTCGACAGACCAGTTCCAGGACAGCTAGGGCTGCTACACAGAGAAACTCTGTCTTGAAAAGCCAAAAAAGAAAAGAAAAAAGAAAAAAAGAAATTCTGAAGGATGCTTGGCTGAGGACATGAAGGACTTGGTTTGATGACTCATTTTATTGCCCACCCCATCCACGTCCCTGGATAGGAAGATGTAAAGCCTGTAGTTTTACTCTATTTCCATAATAGGAACGATCTTCCCATGAAACCAGCATTTGAGCTTTGGTTCACATTTAGGTTTTCATTATATTATTTTTCTTTTAAACTGGGCTAGTGAAACGGCTCGGTAAGAGACACTTGCTGTTCAACCTAATAACTACCTGAGTTTCATCCCCAAGACCCATATGTGGAACAGAGAACAATCTCCTGAGAGTTGTCCTCTGGTTGCCACACATGTATAGCAGTATGCATGTTTACATGTGTGTGCAAACGCACACACACACACAAATTAAAAGATTAAATGTGGAACCAGAGAGGTGGCTCAACACTTAAGAGTGTCAGCTGCTCTTTCAAAGGACCCAGGTTTGATTCTCAGCACCCAAATGTCAGTTCACAACTGTTTGTAATTCCAGCTCCAGGGGATCTGACCCACTTCCGGCCCCTCCAGCATCAGGCATGTAAACGGTGCACAGGCATACATGCAGGCATTGCCCATGGACATAAAATGAAATACAATTGTAATTTAAATGTTCTTTAGAAACTACAAAATATGCTGGGTGGTAGTGGCACATGCCTTTAATTCCAGCATTTGGGAGGCAGAGGAAGAGGTAGGCAGATCTCAGTGAGTTCCAGGCCAACCTGGTCAATAAAGCGAGTTCCAGGACAGCCATGACTGTAACACAGAGAAACCCTGTCTCAAAAAAAAAAAAAAAAAAAAAAATGGGGGCTGGAGAGGTGGCTCAGAGGTTAAGAGCACTGACTGCTCTACCAGAGGTCCTGAGTTCAATTCCCAGCAACCACATGTGGCTCACAACCATCTGTAATGAGATCTGGTGCCCTCTTCTGGCATATATATATACTGGCAGAATAGTGTATACATAATAAATAAATAAATAAATCTTTTTTAAAAAACAGCAACAACAACAACAAAAAAAACCCTACAAAATAGTATGGGTTCCTGGATTTTTGTTTTGCTTTGTTTTGTTCGTTTATTTGTTTTTCGAGAAAGGGTTTCTCTGTAGCTTTGGAGTCTGTCCTGGAACTAGCTCTTGTAGACCAGAATGGGCTTGAACTCACAGTGATCCGCCTGCCTCTGTCTCCTGAGTGCTGAGATTAAAGATGTGGGGCCACCACCGCCCGGCAGGTTCCTGGTTGTTTTAATTCTTAGGGAATTTTGTAGTTCTGAGACACAAAAGGGGGTGTTTTACTCTAAAATCTTCTATTCTGTTTGCCTTTCATTGATACGAGACATTAAGAAGGTTAGTGGTCCATGCACATCTGCTTTTGTCCCCAGAATTCGCTGGCCTTTTCACGCCAGTGTAGAAGCTCTATGTGAGCATCGCCAAATAGCCCCAAGTGTAGAAGCATTGTTTGTTGTAGGTGAACCCGCTGCTTACACAGGAGCACCAAGCTCCTGCAGTTGTGCTGACAGCTTGAGCCCACACAACACCAGTGCTCTCTCGAGTGCGTCTCTCTCTTAAAATGTTTGCCTCAGTACCTAACATCTGGAGAGAAAGCGAACTGCCAGCATCACGGGGAAGTGCAGCAACTGCGACAGAACCTGCACCGCCTGCAGATCCTGTGCAACTCGGCTGAAAAGGAGCTGCGCTATGAGCGGGGCAGGAGCTCGGACTTCAAACAGCACAACAGTTTGCTGCAGGAGGAGAACATCAAGGTGAGTCCCCCAGGCACATCCTTTTCTGGGCAGAGCCAAATCGCGGTGCTCATAGCTCCCTTCTTCCACCTTCTCCAATGCCGACAGGGTGCGCATGCGTCTCCAAACAGGAAAAGGGGTATAGTGACAAGGTCTGTTGAGATCTATACCTCAAACTTTCTAACGTTTGATTTAATTTCAGCAGTAACAGATTGGTTAATAATATTAATAGTTTGTCAATAATGTTTCAAAAATGCAGTATTGCCCGTGTGTCGGTACACAATGAGAACACGAGGAGAACTGAGACATTGCACTGGCTTGATGGGAAAAAGTGAGTGCTCAGTCTAGAGTTCCTTCTTGTGTTATCACAGAGATAAGGCTAATGATCATTTGTTTCCTATTGACCTTTGACCCATCAATTACAGGAAGCATTTGGCTCTTAGATTGTAATCTCTTCATACATTTCCGTCCCCCTTGAGGTCTGACTTTTACACGTCCCTTACCATCTTTGGAGATGACCATCTCTCTTGTCTTCCGGAATTAGTAAGAGCTCATTATTTCAGTAATGTCCAACTCGCGGCTGAAGCGCTCTTTCCTGTGTAGTATCAACAGCTAGGGTTGCTTCTACTTTTTAAAGGACATGGACATGCATGCCCAGGCATATGTGCTAATGTACGTAAGCGCGGCTCTCCGGGAAGACAGCGAAGTGAGATGGCTCAGCTACAGGGACAGTGCACGGGTTACTCACGTCCTTATCTGGTCCGTTTCTATCTGCGCCGCGTAAGAATCAGCATCACTTCCATCCTCGCCAGTTCCTGACACTGTCACACTTCAAAACTTACCTGCTAATCTAGTATATATGCATAGCAATAACTCCTTGAAGTTTATTATCATCATTCATAATAATATAGTTGTGCGTGTGTGCAATGTATATTTGTGAGTGTGGTGCACATGTGCCAGAGCATACACAGACAGAGGTCAGAGAACAGCTTTTGGTAATCAGTTCTCTCCTTCCACCATGTAGCATCCAGTGGATTTGATTCAGGCCATCAAACTTGGTGCCAAACACTTTTACTGACCAAGCCATCTTGCCGGCCTCCATGTTTACTTTTAATCTTTGTGTGTGCGTGTGTGTGCACGTGTGCACGCGTGTACACTTGCATGCTCTGGGCCTCCAACCCGGTGCCTCAGAAATGCCAGGCATACTTTCTACTATTTAACTGCATCCCCAGCCCTGTTTTTATGGTTTGTGTTTATGCCCCATCTCTAGATCAAAATTGAACTCAAGCAGGCCCAGGAGAAGTTGCTGGACAGTGCCAGGATGCAGTCCTCGCTCACGGCGGAGTGGAAACTGTGTCAGCAGAAAGTCAAGGAGCTGGAGCTGGAAGGGCTGCAGCAGGCTCAGAGCATTAAATCCCAGCAGAGCCTGCAGGAAAAGCTGGCTCGAGAGCAGTCGAAAGCAGCCGAAGCACAGGAGAAGGTAAGTATCTTCACACTCAAGAAGCAATGTACAGAGCAACGCAGTACGCCATGTTCACATCTAGAGCCCTGCTCCCTGAGGACCTTGAGACAGTCGTGTACAAACCTGGACACGGGATAATCTTTTTCTTTACTCTCCCTGTGCTTTCCTCTTTTTCATAATTTTAGTCCATCTGGCCCTACCATTCTAATAAGTTTTATATATATATATTTAAAAAAAAAAAAAAACTTGGGGGCTGGAGAGATGGCTCAGAGGTTAAGAGCATTGCCTGCTCTTCCAAAGGTCCTGAGTTCAATTCCCCGCAACCACATGGTGGCTCACAACCATNGGGGGCTGGAGAGATGGCTCAGAGGTTAAGAGCATTGCCTGCTCTTCCAAAGGTCCTGAGTTCAATTCCCCGCAACCACATGGTGGCTCACAACCATCTGTAATGACATCTGGTGCCCTCTTCTGGCCTGCAGACATACACACAGACAGAATATTGTATATATAACAAATAAATAAATAAATATTTTTTAAAAACTTATGAAGATAAAAATGTAAATTCTGGGACTACGGAGGTGGCTCAGTCTGTAAAGCACTTGCCCCACAAGCTTGAGGGCCTGAGTTTGGATCCCCAGAACCCACAGTGAATGCCTGTAATCCCAGCTTTGTAGAAACAGAAACAATAGGGTTCCCTGGACCTGGATGGCCTACCGGCCTAGCCAGAGTAATAAGCTCCAAGGCAGCAAGAGACCCTGCCTCAAAAAATAAGATGGAGAGAGACAGAGGAGGATACATCATCAACTCTTGGTCTCTACACATCTGTACACATACGTGTGCACGCACACAAATGTACACACATATCTCTATCTATCTCTCCGTATATACATACAAATATAAATTTATTTAAAACTATAACGTGAACTTAAAACTGATTGAAGCCATAGTATATTTATATATTTTTAATAATAAAGAATTTTTTCTCTCATTTGAATTGCCTGCTTATATGGTTTTTATTTTGTAATCTCTTAAAAATAGACTTATTTATTTTATTGTATGCATGTATATATGTGTACCACGTGCATGTCTGGTGCCTTGTTGGCAGAGGCTGATAGTCATTTCCCAACCATCCTGACTCGAAATAATCACACAGAAACTATATTATTTGCAATACTGTTTGACCAGTAGTTTAAGCATATTTCTAGTAGCTGTTATATCCTAAACTAACCCATCTCCATTCATGTGTGCATTACCACGAGGTTGTGGCCTACCAGCAAAGTTTTAGTGGGCTCCAGCAGAGGCATCTATCTCCTGTGGGCAGCTACATGGCTTCTCCTTGACTTCGCCCACTCTGTCCTCTTTTCTCTGCTTGGAACCCCCACCTTGACCTATTCTGCTAAGTCACTGGCCAAAACAGTTTTATTTTTTAACCAATAAAAGCAACACATAGACAGAAGGACTTCTCACACCATTTCCCCCTTTCTGTTTAAATAAAAAGGTAGATTTTAACATTAACACAGTAAAATTACATATAACAAAACAATTATCAAGCAAGAATTTTAGTTGCAATATTTATATCTACTTTATCTTTTATCATAACTAAGGAAAACTATAACTATCTGCTCTTCAACTCCATCAAAGACTGCAGTAGGATATAATATTACCTAAGTTAACATTTTAAGCAACTTCCAAAACTCTAGAATTGAAGAGATATCTCCCTGCCTGGACAGTCACCCAAAATTCTTCTGTAATATTACGGGCATCCATTTTCAGCTTACTGGTCCATGGTATCTGGCAGACTTTTCCATGAAGCAGGAAATTTCAAAGACAGTTCCACCTATATTGACAGTCACTTTCTTCTGTATCCTGAAGAATGTCTGGCAGACTCATGAAACAGGAACCCCACAGGACCATCTCACCTTTAGGCAAGTTCAGTAGTCATTTCTCCATGGGCCCCGCATGTTTAGTTCACACAGCATAACACAAGCAGTTCAGGCAAGAGCAGTCTCTTGCCCAAATAGCCAACAAACTCTATAAATAGCCTTTTGGGAGCTCATCTTCCTCTTGAAGTAGGTTGGTGCTGCCAGGAGCAGATGAGTCTCACTGTCATGAAAAATGCTCAGTTCTTAAAAACATTTTAAATGCCATATTCTGTAGGTCTTTGAAAGGTTTAAAGAATATCTATCCATCTGAAATATATAGGTCCTGGCTATAGTTCAATTTAGTATTGAGTTTGTTGTTGAAGAGGGGTCAACCCCCCCCCAATAATGTTTCACTTTTTCATCCAAGATTTTGGACCTGCAGCAGAAATTAGACCATGCTCGACAAGTCTGCCTTTCAGATGCTTGTGTTTTGCATAAGAAACAACTAGAGGAGGAGATCAAGGAAGCAAGGAGCAGTGAGGCTAGGCTGCAGCAGCAGTGTCAGGAGGAGCAGCAGAGGAGGTAAGGACCACCAGGGTATGGGACTCCTAGGGTGGAGGGCTTACCTGGAGCACTGGGTAAACTGCCTTAACTGGATTAGCCTGTGAAATCTGACAGCTGCTTGCCTTGTTCTCTGATGTGACCTACACAAATTCAGACTTCATTGAAGCTATATTTCTTTTTTTTTTAAATATTTATTTATTTATTATGTATACAATATTCTGTCTGTGTGTATGCCTGACAGCCAGAAGAGGGTGCCAGACCTCTTTACAGATGGTTGTGAGCCACCATGTGGTTGCGGGGAATTGAACTCAGGACCTTTGGAAGAGCAGGCAATGCTCTTAACCACTGAGCCATCTCTCCAGCCCCTGAAGCTATATTTCTTATTCATTGGCTAATGTCCTTCTAGATAGTTCTAGATCATTATAGAAATCTTTGGCATCAACAAACTGGTCAAGGATAAGAACCATCCCCTCTTTTCCCCTTTAACATAAGTGCTGTGATTCTGACTTAAAACATTCTTTTGGAGGGGGCTGGAGAGATGGCTCAGAGGTTAAGAGCATTGCCTGCTCTTTCAAAGGTCCTGAGTTCAATTCCCAGCAATCACATGGTGGCTCACAACCGTCTGTAATGAGATCTGGTGCCCTCTTCTGGCATGTGGGCATACATGGAGGCAGAATGTTGCATACATAATAAATAAATCTTTTTTTTTTTTTAGGGGGGAAAAGTGATCTGGGGAGTTGGGTGATGTGGACAGATGGCTTAGTGGTTGAGAACACTTGCTGCTCTTACAGTGGACTGGGATTTGGATCCCAGCCCTTTACCAACACAGTCCTCTTCCCAGGCCCTCACTCGTCTTTTCTGAGGTGGAAGTCTTGCCCAAGCTGGTCTCAAAGTTGTGGGATCAAGAGATGTTCCTACCTCCGTGTCCCAGATTTCCGGGACTACACGTGAGCCTACCAGTCTCAGCAGGATCCAGTGTCTGTAGTGGATATAGCGATGCCGCGCCACCTGTCCTTCCTTGTGGGAGTTGACATTGTCCACAGTTCAAGAGTTCCGCCCATTCATCATCAGACTTACCAGATCCGTGGCACAGAGTTGTTAATGATGTTATAATAATATAATAATATCCTTTGTTGTCCTTTCAGTACCTGCGGGACCAATAGAGATGGCCCCTGTTTCATTTCTGGTATTAATTTCTCTATTCTGTGCATCTTGGTTCTCCTCCCTAGATAGAGATTTTATCAACTGTATTGGTCTTTTCAAAGAACTTCCTTTTAGTTTTATTTCATTTTCTCTATTTTTTTTCTGATTCCATTTATCTGTCTACCTCCCCACTCCACACCTCTTGACAGGGTCTCATGTAGCCCAGGCTGGCCTCCGATTCACTATATAGCTGAGGCTAGCATTAAACTCCTGACCCTTATGTTGCCACCTTCCATGTGGCATGGGGTTACATGTGAGCCACCCCATTTGGTTTGAGACCACAGAGTCTCAGTTTGTAGCCCAGGCTATCTCGGAACTCACTATATACCCAAGCTTGCCTCAAACACACAATTCTTCTGCCTCAGCTTCCAGAATACTGGAATTTCAGGCATGCACCACCACACCTGGCTGAGGTTCTCGTCTTATTATTCTTTTCTTCTGTTTGTCCTGGGGTTAAAATCCTAGTCTTCCTCTGGCTTCTTATGGTGGGAAATTTTGAGTATTGGTTTTAGAGGTTCCTTCCTTTATAACATACATATTTACTGGTACCAGTTTCTCTGGTGCATTTCACAAAGTCTGTATGTTCTGTTTCCGTTTAATTCAAAATATTCTTGACTCATCATGAAACATCCTTGCCTCTGTAACACTTGGGAGTCTGTTGACTCTGGACATCTGCGGTTTCCTGTTGATGCTGTACAGTTTCATAAGTGCTATCATTTTAAATTGTTGTATAGTAATCTCTTGCATAATTACAGTTAATCTTGATTGTCAAGTTTCCCCATCAGTGTGGCTCAGCAGTCCACGAGGCAGCTGTAGCAGGTGTCGTGTGTGCACCAGCACCAGCACCTGCAGTGTGTGGAGGCAGCTGTAGCAGGTGCTGTGTGTGCACCAGCACCTGCAGTGTGTGGAGTCAGAAGGTCGCAGGGTTAACCTGTAGAGCACTAAGGGAAAAGGAACATGGATTCAGGAGTAGAGCCCCACGCCAGCCTTGTCCTAGATGTTCTTGGTGCCATGTCTCTCTTATCTCTGCTATAGAGAAAATTATTTCTTCCTTATGGCCTTGTTTTGATGGCAATGGGAGAATTAAGAAAAAGCTTCTGAGCCGGGCGGTGGTGGCGCACGCCTTTAATCCCAGCACTCGGGAGGCAGAGGCAGGCGGATCTCTGTGAGTTCGAGGCCAGCCTGGTCTACAAGAGCTAGTTCCAGGACAGGAACCAAAAAGCTACGGAGAAACCCTGTCTCGAAAATCCAAAAAAAAAAAAAAAAAAAGCTTCTGTTAGGTGGAAAATTTCCTGCACGGGTCCTCTTACCTTATAGATACGTGACTGTACCTCACTACTGGACCCACAAGCTCCCTTTTGCTGGTACAAAAGGCGTAGGTCTAGGAGTCATTTGCAGAGTGTGGCAGTACAGAGTGATCTGATGTGCATTGATTGCCCTCAGGGTACTCCTGGACCAGGACATAAATGAGCTCCAGAAGCAAGTGAGAACCTTGCAGGAGAAGGAGGACCAGCTGGAAGCAACCAATTCCCAGCAGCAAGAGGCTCTCCGCAAACAGCTGGAGAACGAGAGCAGAAAGTGTGAAGAGGTAAGAAAGTGGCGGCCATGCTTCCCCGTTTTCCTGTTCCCATAGACTGGAATGTGTGTCCATCACTGCTATTTAGCCCATTACCATTGAGCACACTTTACCTACTGAATTTAGCTAGGGAAAAGAATCTACCCTAACTATATTATATCCAAGTGAAAGAGGGGGAATATAACCTCCCCGTAGCCTTCTGGGCTGTTTGGCTAAGGCTATGAATTAAACTGGCAGGAGCTGGAGAGATGGTTCAATGATTAAGAGCGCTGGCTGCTCTTTTGGAGGACATGGGCTTGATTCTAAGTTCCTACATGGAAGCTCCCACTGTCTATAACTCTAGTTCAGATGGATCCTACATCCTCTTCAGAACTCCTCAGGCACCAGACATACATGTGGTGCACAGATATACATGCAGGCAAAAGATCCCTATACATAAATAAAAATAAAAAAGATATATTTTTAAAGATCAATCAACATAGGGCAAACAAGGAGGAGCACAACCACTTTAATTACATGTATATGCATGAGTGTTCCACAAAGCATGATACTTGAAACAGGTCGGTCGTCCAAAGCTTGTACAACGTCCCGAGCTATCTAGAAAGGGCCTTGGAACCTCCGAGCACAATGGAGAGGAGCTATGGAAGGGCATGGGGAAAAATCATAGGGTGAAGAAGGGTTGTCTCAGATACAGATAAACATCCAATAGGCAGTGGTGGCGCACGCCTTTAATCCCAGCACTCGGGAGGCAGAGGCAGACGGATCTCTGAGTTCGAGACCAGCCTGGCCTATAGAGTGAGTTTCAGGTTCAATTCAATTCGGACATAGTCACCCTGAAGACTGTTTCATCAGACCTATGGGTTAGAGTTCAGTTCTCATGACTTCAGACCCAGGGGCAAGGCTGTGCCTCCAGAATTACTTGTCTCCCCCCACCCCTTTTTTAAGACAGGGTCTCGTGTGGCACCAGCTAACCTCAAATTCTTATGTGGCTGAAAATGCCTTTGACCAGTTGCTAGGATTATTAAGTAAATTCCCCTCATGTAGTTTTATGCTAGGCTGGGAATCCAACTTAAGACTTAGTGCACAGCCAGGCAGCGGTGGTGCACACCTTTAATTCCAGCACTCAGGAGGCAGAGATAGGCGAATCTCTGAGTTCAAGACCAGCCTGGTCTACAGAGTGAGTTCCAGGACAGGCTCTAAAGCTACAGAGAAACTATGTCTCAAAAAAAAAAAAAAAATTAAAAAATTAAAAAAAAAAATAAAGACTTAGTGCACACTAGGCAAGCCAGAGGAGCCACTTCCCTGGCCTGGCAGAATTTCTGACCAACCAGAAATGGACCTCCTGAGACTCAGTCACTTTGCTAGGGCACTCACACAACACAGAGCTCGCTACACTTCTGTTTCCTGGTTTGTTATAAAGGGCATTTTAAAGGTTAGAAATAGGCAACCAGACAAGGGGACACATGGGGTGAGGTCCTGAATGGTCCTGAGCCAGGAGCTCCTGTCTCCCTGCAGTAGGGGTGAGCCAGCTCCCAGCACACGGAGGAGTACCTTTCATCTCCCTGTGTCAGCGGTCCCTAGGCTCATCAGGGTTTATGTGGGGACAGACTGCTCCCTTTCCACCATCACCCCCCGCCTTTTGTTTGTCTTTTTCAGTATGTCAAGAGCAACCAGGAACTGTCAGAGAAACTATCAAAATTACAGCAAGAAAAGGATGCTCTCTGGCAAGAACACGGGCGGTTTTTGGAGCAACTTGGTGAGCATGTGAGGTAAACAAAGCAGGTTCCCTGTGGGCAAACAGGACACAGGGGCTGTTCTGCCGAAACAAAGAAACAAACAAACCAGAGCAATCACACTGATAGGGCTGTCAACAGGATTTCCCTGTCCCATCTACACTCTGTTCCAAGGAAGATGCTGGGCCCAATTCCTTCCTGAGAAGAGGGACTTAACTGTTTCCTGAGCTCTCTGTCTATATCTTGCTTTCTTCAGAAATACCCTCTCACTGTCTTCAAGGGTTTTCCCTACAGTCTTTAATATTTACTTATTTGTTTTTAATTTCTGTGTATGTGTGTGAGTCTGCATGCATTCATTGTGCACTCTGTGGGAACCCTTGGTGGCCAGTAGAGGGCGTCAGAACCCCTGGAATAGGAGTTACCCATGCTTGTGAGCTGCCATGTGGGTGTTGGGAACTGAACTGGTGTCCTCTGCAAGAGCAACAGGCATGCCTAACCACTGAGCCATTTCTCCAGTCTCTCTCTTACTTCCTTTCCTCGGTCTGGACAGTATGTGCACTGGACGCCTGACAACCTGGGAGCTCAAAAGTCTCAGCTGAGACTTTGGCTCATACTTGGCCAAGCACATTAGCCATCACTACCTGTCACCTGCCTCCGTGGAGCCTTCCTGGGACCTCCCTGAGGCCAGGCACAAGTCTCACTCTCGCACTACTAGCAACAAAAAGTGTCAGCACGCTGGTACCAACCTGCTACAGAACTCCCCCTACTGGTGGTTATGAAACTACACTATTTTACTCAGTGTATTTCATACTTTAGCCAGCAGTTGGCGCCAGACAGCGCAAAGAGCAAAAAAAATGCAAGCGGAAAAGTTTTGCTGGCTCTAGACCTGCGGGAATCCGCCAGCCATCCCGCCACAGCCCTGATTCTGTTTGGAATGACTCAGTGGTCCAATGAGTGAATAGTACTATGCCTCATTAATGCACTGGCAAGCGTTCAAAAGCATCTCTCCTCTACTGCCATCATGCTGGAGGAGTTGCTGTTTCTCCACATCCTTCTTTGTGGCGAGTACCATAGTCGGGGGGGGGGGGGGGGACCTTGATGAAAATTTCCTCCAACATTCTTGCTTTTGATGTATGTAGAACACATGTCCAAAAAACTAATACACAGCTCAGTGCATTGTGGCAAGTGTATATGCATGTAACTCCCACCTCTATCACGGCGTGGAACATGTCCCCCACTGCTGAACTGTCTCCTGCTGGTGTGCAGTCTGCCGCTCTCTCCTATCCTTAGGAAGCCACTGTTGTGACGTCCGCATTTTCCAGATTTCTGAACAGACTCGTTTTGCACGGTATTCTCATTATGTCTGACTTCCGTCACCCACCCTCTCCCATTATTTACATACACACTTAGCCAGGGCTTTCCACTCTATTTTGAGTATGGGGGGGCGGGGAGTTACATCTGTGAGGTTGGATAATTTTCTATGTTATTTACGCATGACCTTTAGAAAAATGGATCCAATCCTGGCTGCATGTGCCTGAGTACTGACATACATGAATTTAATCAAGATCTATGAGGGGAAGGGGAGTCAGTGTTTCCCAAAGCATCACCATACGTTTGTAACATGTATCCAGAGCTGAAGAGCACAGACCTCCGAAGCACAGGGTTTTTTTTTTTTAATAATTCATTTAAATTCATTTTATGTGCATTGGTTTGAAGGTGTCAGATCCCCTGGAACTGGAGTCAACGACAGTTGTAAGCTGCCACGTGGGTCCAGGTCTTCTGGAAGAGCAGCTAGTGCTCTTAACCACTGAGCCATCTCTCCAGCCTCCGAGACACAGTGCTTTAGAAAAGAAAACTGTCATGATTTTACTGTAGTGGCACACACCTATAATCTCAGCTCTCGGAAAGTAGAGGCAGAAGGATCAGGAGTTCAAAGCCAGCGTAGGCCGCGATGTGAGGCACTGCCTCAAAACCAAGAAATCTACTGGGGCCCTGTGAAGACCTGGGAGATATGGAGGAGGGAAAGAGGTTGGTGCACTGTGAGGTGCTCCACCTCTGTTGCGCCCCAGAATGCCCATACCCAGGAACAGTCCCGCCACGCAGTCCCAACGCCAAAGGAAGTGAGATTGTGCCCGGGAGGGAGTCATCTTCTAGGGAACTGAAAACTATCACAGAAGTGTGTGTCTCACACTATGTAGTAGGTGCTGTGCAAGGGCCTCGGACTGAAATGGGTCTGTGGCAAATTTACAAATGAAGCTGTCTATCGCGAGTTATTTAGTTAGAGTACTGTAGGAGACAATGAATAGAAATGGATTCAGAAGCCAGGGGCAGCTCAGTCAGTAGCGTTACAAGAGGGCCTGAGTTTGGGTCCACAGAAACCATGTAACAAGCCTGTAACCCTGGTGCTGAGGGAGAGGAGGAGACAGGGGGATCCCTGGAGCTCCTGGCCAGTAGTCAGCCTAGTCAAACGGGTGAGCTTCAGATTCAGTGAGATACTCTATCTACATATAAGGTGGAGGGCAACACTCAGACATCGACCTTGGGCCTTTGTACTTAACCACACATTTATGCATGCCTGCATGTACACATGAACACACATACACGCATGCACACATATATGCACACACAAAGCAAAAGATATAAAACTGGACATGTGATACACGTCCATAACCCCAGCACTGGGATTATGAGTCTGAGGCCAGTCTGGGCTACATAGTAAGTTCCAGGCCAGTGTAAGCTATACAGTAGGACTCTGCCTAAAGAACTGAAAAGAGGCATGCAGTATGTGGGGGTGTTTCTGTCTTAGCTGACAGTGCAGATATAAGCAGAACAGGCTTGCATGGAGCTTCGCTGCATCAGAAGCCTAGGTTTCTATTATTTTGTTGTTGCCTGAGCATCTTGTAGGGACTTTTTGTTGTTGTTGTTGTTGTTGTGGTTAGTTGGTTAGTTGGGTTTTGGTTTTTCAAGACAGGATTTCTCTGTGTAGCCCTGGCTGTCCTGGAACCAGACCAGGCTAGCCTCATGGAACCCACTCACATGGCTGACAACAGCTCACTACAACAGCCGCACGTCAGTCAGTAATCAGGCAGAGACAGCAGTGCATGCTGGGTTCCTTTACAGCACGCTGCCTTCCTCTTTATATTCTGTTAGCTAAAATGGACATGGATTTATGTAGCCATAACAAAAGCTAGACAGGGGCTGGAGAGATGGCTCAGTGGTTAAGAGCATTGCCTACTCTTCCAAAGGTCCTGAGTTCAATTCCCAGCAACCACATGGTGGCTCACAACCATCTGTAATGAAATCTGGTGCCCTCTTCTGGCCTGCAAACATACACACAGACAGAATACTGTATACATAATAAATAAATAAATATTTTTTAAAAAAGCTAGACAAATCTAGCTATTAATTTAGATTTTAATTTAGATATTTAGATTGATTTAGATTTTTTTTCAAGACAACCCTTGCTCTGTCAAAATTCATGGATTCTGTAAAGACAAAAAGAAAACAAGGGGAATAGAAAGATGACTCAGAGGTTAAGAGCATTGGCAGCTCTTCCAGAGGCGGGGAGTTTAGTTCCCAGCAACCACATGGAGGCTCACAGTCATCTGTCATGAGATCTGGTGCCCAGCAACTGCATTTTGCTTTTATAGAAACTACAAAGACAAACACCACTGCCACAAAGCCAAGCTTCAAAAGGTCAAGGACCGTCTAACCCATGAGTTAGAAATACGAAATAAGAGGATTAAAGAACTCGAAGATGAAACTGGGAAACTGCAACAAAAGATTGCGCTGGTGAGGAAAAACAAAAAGCCCAGAGTGCACTGACTTCACTGGTGGTTAGCCGTTCAAGAGCACCTGCTCATTTCTCATTACCCAGGGCCCCAGCTTCCATCTTTCCGTGTGTTGAATTCTCTTTATTTTTAATGCACATGTATGTATGTGCACACATCCTTGTGTGTGCATGTCTGTGTGTCCGCGTGTGTGCATGATTGCTTATATGTCGATGCATGTGGATAATGTCAGGAGACAAGGTCAGGGGTCATCTCCCAGAGCATGCATGAAGTTCCTCCTTTCTCTCATTGACCTGGTATTCACCAAGGAGACTGAAGCCAGCAGCAGCCCAGGGATCCCCATCTCTTTACCACTCATGGCTGGAATTCCAAGCGCTCAAGCCGTGCCCAACATTTTTAGGTGGGTTCTAGGGATCAGACTCAGGGTCTCATGCTTACAGGGCACTTTACCAACCCAGCTAACCCCACCAGCCTGAATGTAAGGAATCCCCTAAGAACCTGCAAGGCTTTTAGGGTTGCTAATCCAAATAGGATATTGAAGAGGTGCCTCACTAGTAATCTGCCATTGTCCCACCTACAAATGGAAATATCCATCTTAGAGTGATGGCTCGGGAGTTAAGAGCACTTGCTGCTTTTACAGTGGACCCAGGTCTGGTTCTGAGAACACTCATGGTGGCTCATAATCATCCAGTTCTAGGGGATCTGACACCCTCTTCTGGCTCCATCGGGCACCAGTCATGCATGTGGTTTGCACACATGTATATGTAGGCAAAGCACACATATACATAAAATAAAAAGAAATCTTTTTTTAAAAAAAAATTAGTCTTTTGGGTGTGCACAAATTTGGTAAGAGAGTGTCCCCCAAATTCATGTCTCTTACGTAGAGTACCAGATGCAAGCTGCCAGTTTGGAAAGCCTGCCTCTGCAGGTGTAGTCAGTTAAAATGAGGTCATCCTAGATGAGAGCGAATTCGAAGTCCAATTGCCTGTGTCTTTGTACGAGGAGTGGCAGATGCAGAGACAAGGACACGTCCCATGGGAAGGAGCATCTCACGAGGACAGAAGTGGAGAGGGAAAGGGAATGTCTATAAAGCCAGAGAACATGGAGGATGCCCGGCAACCATGCAACAGGAGGTGGCTTGGAACAGGCTCCCTGTGAGGGCTCAGGGTACAGTCCAGCATAGAGCACTTCCCTGACAGGCACAAGGCCCTGGCTTCAACCTCCACCTCCAGTACTGACAGAGAGACCTTCTGGGTCCCTAGAACTAACCCTGGCAACATCTTGATTCACTTCTAGCCCCCTAGCATGGTGATAAAGTCAATTTGCCACATAAAGCCACTAAGTATGTGATAATTTGATTTGTCTAAGGCACGGACAGGAGGCTAAGTTCTTAACTTTCTTCTCTGCCTAAAAATGAAGGTAACTGAAGGCCGGCTAGATGGCTCAGTGGGTAAAAGCACCTGCTGCCAAGCCTGACAACCTGAGTTCAATCCCCAGGCCTCACATGGCGGAAGGAGAGAACTGATTCCTGCTGCTTATACCTAGGCCTCCACATACGTGTTGTGGTGCACACCCATACACACATAACTGCTTAAAATAAATTAACAAATTAAAAGAGAACACAGCAAGTTGAGCATGGTGACACAGGCCACAATCCCAGCACTCAAGAGGCTGAGGCAAGACTCTCACTATAGAGTATATCAAAACAACAACAAAATATCTACAAAGCCGATGGAAATGTATCCAGGGGCAAGAATATGGAAAGCAGTTACACTTACTGGTGGTTTGATACCTACTGGGATTAAAATACAGGAAAGACACTGTTGCTTGCTAGAAATTGGCTGTCACAGTATTTCTTTGTTGTTGTTGTTTTGTTTTTCGAGGCAGGATTTCTCTGTGTAGCCCTGACTGTCCTGGAACTCCCTCTATAGACCAGGCTGTCTAGGTCTGGGACTCTCAGAGATCCACCTGCCTCTGCCTCTGCCTCCCAAGTACTGGGATTAAAGGTGTGCACCGCCACCGCCCAGCCCACCATGGTATTTCTAATTGTGAATGCATACATTCCCTAAGTAAACACCACAAACAGGAGGGCAGCTAGTATAAGTAAGCATGTTGGCAGCAGGCGGATGCCAACAGATTTGGGGCCAGAAAGAGAGAAAGCAAGAGTTACTGTTAAGATATAGGAACATGGGCTGGGGAGATGTCTCAGAAGTTAAGAGCACTGACTGTTCTTCTGGAGGTCCTGAGTTCAATTCCCAGCAACCTCATGGTGGGAGATGTGGTGCCCAGAACACTTTATACATAATACATGAATCAAAAAACAAAAGCCATGGGAACAGACTGAAGTCTTTCATGTATATGTTGTTGCCCCTTGTGCTCACCCCCAGGAGAAGGAGTTCCAGGGCCAGATCATGACCCAAAACGACATCCTCCTCCTGGAAAAGAGGAAGCTGCTAGAACAAGTCACAAATCAAGAAGAACTGATCTGCAGCAATAAGTCCACAGTCTCTGCAATCCAGAGCAAGTAGGTGCAGCAGACACAGGTGCTTCTGGGGACTGTGGGGAGGGGGCGACTGCGAGTCTATTCTGCTGACTTCGGCTTCCAGGTGTCCAAGCAAGTGACAGGCACTGTGGCATTAAAGACGGTGTCGGGATGGGGGGAGTCTGTATAACAGTGGTAAAGCACATGCTTAGCATGCATGAGACCCTGTGTGCCATCCCTGCACAGAAAAAAAGGGAGGGAGGGAGTGAAGGAGAGAGGGAGGGGCAAAGGGAAGGAGAGAGGAAGCAAGGAAGACATTTCTAGCTATGCCTCTGATTTATGCCATGTTTAGGGCGTTTTTACTGGATAAAGAAAACCAGCAACTGCAGGAAAACTGCCTCCGGCTCATGCAGCAAATCAGTCTCCTAGAACGCATTATAAGGAGCATCCAGATTCGCAGAGCGGAAGTAAGATGTGCACTTCGTACTGGGTCCTGACTCTAAGGTTTGGTTCGCGGGTTCACCCTGCCCTCTCTTGGCTTCCTCTAGAACCATAGCCTGCTCCAGGCCACACAGTGAGCTGTGACAGAGGCTTCTCGAGGAGACATGGAGTAGCAAACCTGTGACTGTTCTTGGTGACCCCTGCTCATCACTGGGTCAATTTTGATAACACTTTTACCCTGTGTGATTCCCAAAGACATCTGTGTATGCCTCTGAGCATCTTTCTTAACGTGCTACATTGTCGTTGCCTTTTCTCTTCTCTAGATCAATAACTCAGCAGTGAGGTCCCAGAGGGCAAGGACTGTAGCTCATACGTGACCATACCCGAGGACAGGCATAGCTCATACATGACCATACCCGAGGACAGGCATAGCTCATACATGACCATATCTGTGGACAGATATAGATCATACTTACCCGTATCTGCAGACAGACACAATAGAATGCTTTGAGAATGAATGGATGCTGTTTTCCCAGATATCCCTCCTTCTGAACAAGACTGTTGACAGTGTATTAGTCTAACCCTGTTTAGAAAGAAAGAAAAACAAATCTGAGGCTCAGAAAGGTCCAGTGAAGCCAGTTTAGTCGGCTAATGAGTCAAGACTAAGGAGGACAACCAAGTCAGAGAAAAACAATTTCAAATTAAAGCAGATCCTCCTGCCTCAGTCTCTTGAGTGCTGAGATTACAGGCATGGGCCACCATGGCCAGATTTTATCATTTTTCCTGGGAAGGACCATCTTATTTTTAAAGTCATAAAGCTCAAAAAAAGACAAGGCCATGTATGACAGACACACAATTAATATGGGTCTCAGAAGCGAAAGCTGGTTTTTTTTTTTTTTTATTTTCGAGACAGGGTTTCTCCATAGCTTTTGGTTCCTGTCCTGGAACTAGCTCTTGTAGACCAGGGCTGGCCTTGAACTCACAGAGATCCGCCTGCCTCTGCCTCCCGAGTGCTGGGATTAAAGGCGTGCGCCACAACCGCCCGGCAGGAGCGAAAGCTGAAAGTTCATTCTAAGATCAGGATCAAGATGAGGCATTTCTGCTCTAACCACTTCTGTTCAGTGCACTTCTGGAAGTCCTGGATGGGGTCACTTGACAAAGAGGCTTCCAGATAGGAAAGGAAGAAGTAAAACTGTCACTGTTGGCTGGTGATATGATCTCACATACAGAAAATCATAACTGCCCCGTACTCCCTCTAAAACTCCAGTAGAACAAGATAAGAAGACAGTCAAGTTACAGGATCACATACAATCAAGAGCCTCAGTTCACTAACAATGACTCACATGAGAAAGAAATAAGCCAGCAAGACGCTCACTGGGTGAAAATGCTCGCTGGCAAGTCTGACCGAGTTCCATCCCTAGAATGCACACGGTGGAAGGGAGAACCAGCTCCCACAAGATGTTTACTGGTCTCTGCATACAGACAGACAAACAAATAAATGTAATGGGGAAAGAAAGAAATCAGGAAAGAGACAAGTGTAGAATGCTTGTCTGGGACACTCAGCATCCTAGTTCAATCGCTATTGCCTCTCCCCTCAAAAGTTTGGGCTGGGGCTGTAGTTCAGTTAGAACACTTGCCTAGTATGCACTTGGCTCTTGGTTTGCTCCCTAGCAACGCGTGTGTGTGTGTGTGTGTGTGTGTGTGTGTGTGTGTGTGTGTGTGTTTGGAGAAAGAGAGAGAGAGATGGTGGAACAGGGAGAGAAGAAAGTGAATAAAGGAGAGGAGAGAGGGGGAAAGAGAAGAGGGCAGGAAGGGGAGAGAGGCAAGAGCTATGAGAAGGCACTAGAAGGGGGAGGGCAGCTATTCATTCTCTACCCTTTTATTCTTATATTGCTTGTAGTATGTTGTATGGTTTAAGACTGAATAGGGCCGGGCGGTGGTGGCGCACGCCTTTAATCCCAGCACTCAGGAGGCAGAGGCAGGCGGATCTCTGTGAGTTCGAGACCAGCCTGGTCTACAAGAAAGAGCTAGTTCCAGGACAGGCTCCAAAACCATAGAGAAACCCTGTCTCGAAAAACAAAAACAAACAAACAAACAAAAAAAAAAAAGACTGAATAGGGCTGGAGCATTGCTCAGTGGTTAAGAGTAACTGTTGTTCTTGCAGAATTACCCTGGGTTTACTTCCCTGCACCCACATCAGCTGGCTCCCAGCCACCGGTACCTCCAGCTCCAGGGGATCCAATACACATACACACATACATTCACATACTCACATACAAAACAAAAATAATAAATATTTCATGATATTTTTTTTTCTTTTAGGAAACGATAATCAGTGACAATGCTGCTTTTGAAATACTCAGAAAGATACTACCTTTGCAGAGCTCCAGGTGAGTCAATGCATCAGCCAGCCATGATCTGCACACCTGGCTCCTCACTGGTTCTGAGTGGCTGGCTTGAGGAAACACAGCTTTGGGTTTTTTGGTTGTTTTTTTTTTTCCTGCATTTAGCGTTTGAATCTGCTCTCAGCCCCTGATCTCTTCACCCCCTTTCTAGTCCTACAGAATGCGGATCTCAGGCAGAGGGTAATTCCTGAGCATGGGCTTCCGGAAGCCTTTGTTTTGTTGTTTTATTTGATCCTGACAGCTGTGGAATGCTGTCCCTATCAATGCCATATGCCCGTAGTCCTGCACATCTGCCAGGAAGTTCTGTGCATGTTTATGTCGTCACACGTGGCCTTTCTCAGTTTCTCAGGAACAGGTTTGGTATTGTCAGCTGAAAATCTCCAGGAGACTGAACTACATAAATCAGGAGGAACAACAGCAATCCCCAAGTCCCCCGAACCTCTTTCATGTTCACAGAATTCTGAAAATGGATATATAAATGTGACTTCTCTAAAAGAGACATACAATATGCAAGGGGACCAAAAACTGGGACTGTGACATCACTGCTGTCTAAAAAATGTTAACTGAACCTAGTGACTCAGAGCATGGATGGAAAGGTCTCACAGAACACCCTGGAAAGCAGCAAGGAGTCTTCAAAATCACTGACTAAACAGTCATTAAAAGCTTTCTAAAGATGGAGTTGTTGTTTGTTTGATAGACCCATTAATAATGATTTTTTTGTTTTATTTTCTGTGTATTGATGTTTTGTCTGCATGTGTCTGTCTACTCCATGCATGAACGGCCAGAAAGGGCATTGATTCCCCTGAGACTGGAGTTGCAGACAGCTGTGAACTATCATGTGGGTGCTGGGAATTGAACCCCAGCCCTCTGCAAGAACAAGTGTTCAAAACCACTGTAACATCTCTCCAGCCCTAAGAAACTAATTTGTAAAAATAACTTTAATAGGGCTGGAGCAATGGCTCAGAGGTTAAGAGTGCTGACTGTACTTCCAGGGGTCCTGAGTTCAATTCCCAGCAACCACATGGTAGCTCACAACCATTAATAATGAGACACGGGGTCCTCTTCTGGCTGTATGGATAAGTGCAGAGAGAACTTTGTATACATAATAAATTTAAAACACTTATTTAAAAAAATAACTTTAATAGTCCTCCACCAGACAAGATTAATGTCTGTTAAGCATGGCAGGGGAGGGACTAGCAGCTAGTGAGTAAATTCACTGTTTAGACCATACCAAAATAAAGCTTACTACTTTACATGAGGCAGTGGGGTGGACACTAAGAGAAACACACTTGTAACTTAACCGTTCTTATCAAAACACATTTCATTTTGGAGTTAATCGCTTATTGTCCTTATTCAAATATGTTTTGGTTTGGGGACTTTTGAGACACCATCTCCTGTGGCCCAGCTGAGCCTCGAATTTGACGGGCCAGAAGATGACCCTGAACTCCTACTCTTCCTCCCTCCACCTCCCAAAGACCAGGGTTGCAAGCACGCTCTACCACACCCTGCTAATACATGGATTTTTATTTTAAGTTTTCATTAGATCTTCAAGAACTTCATCTAGTGTGTTTTGAGTATAATCAACCCCTCTCCCAATTTCTCCCAGAGCCACACCCCTACCATGTGTACCCAACTCGATGTTTTTTGGTGTTTTTTTTAGACCAGGCTGGCCTCGGACTCACAGAGATCCACCTGCCTCTGCCTCCTGAGTGCTGGGATTAAAGAAGAAGAAGTGTGCCACCACTGCCCGGCCTTGTTTTTTGTTTTTTTTTTTTTGTTTGTTTGTTTTGGGTTTTTTTGTTTGTTTTTGTTTTTCGAGACAGGGTTTCTCTGTGGCTTTGGAGCCTGTCCTGGAACTAGCTCTGTAGACCAGGCTGGCCTCGAACTCACAGAGATCTCCTGTCTCTGCCTCCCAAGGGCTGGGATTAAAGGCATGTGCCACCACCGCCCAGCCAATGTTCTTTTTTTAAAGCTCATCAAGACCAGTTTTTGCTGCTCATATGGTCTTGGCTGTATGGCCTTCCAATGAAGCATGGACGACTTAGCAGTTGCTAAGACTATTAAAGAAAACTGATTCCTCCCTCTCCCAGCAGCTACCGATTGACAATAGCTCCTTGAATGAAATAAGTATTTTTTTAAAACAGCCATTATCATATTATACATTCATTTTAATAGTGTTTGTGTGTGTGTGTGTGTGTGTGTGTGGATGTCCATATAGAGGTGAGGATTCAACACTGAGTACCTTCCTCCATCTCTGCAGTTTTTACAATTAGTATTTCTCTGTGTGTGCGTGTGTGTGTGTGTGTGTGTGTGTGTATGTGCATACCTATGCAAGCACTGAGGCCAGAGTCTTCCTCTATTATTTACCACCTATTAGTTTGAGGCACAAGCTCTCCTTGTAATGGATATAATTAAAAATGCAGGATCCCCTGTGGCGGCAGGCAAGAGAAATGCTGCAGGTCCCCAAGCGGTGGTGGCAGGCAGCAGGCTCTGAGAGCAGCCAGTCCCAGGCAGGGATGGCTGCAGGTCCCTGAGCTGTGATTGGTCCCGGGCAGGGCAACACGAGACCAAGCCGCAGGTGGCTGGTCCTGGGCTGTGAGCCACGGGGCAGCAAGAAACAGGATAGGCAGGCCCTGCAGAGTGAGGGCTCAGCCAGGAAACTGAAGATCAGCCTGCCTCAGCAGGTGAGGGAGGGAGTGGGCGTGGCTTGTCTATTAAAGAGACAGATCAATCACTACACTCCTTGAACCTGGGGTTCACATTTTCCAACTAGTTTGGAAGCCACTAAGCCAACGAACATCTTGTCTCCACCCTCCTTGGAGATTACAGGTATGCGCAGGATACCCAATTTGTCACACGGGTGCTGGGATGCTGTGGACCTTGTAAGCATTGTGGCTCAGATGGCTAGGGATCCTGGCAGTCGGGATTCAAGAAATACTGAGCATTACAGCTTGGGTAGAAGAGTATTCGGACAGTCGGGGCCAGGGAATAGCGGTAGCAGCTGACAGCCCTGCTCTAAGGAAAGGTTTCCCCAATGTAACAACTCTGTTCCCGCAGGAGAGGGCTTCCCGAGCGAAGTTGTTACAGTTTGGCTCCAGTGCTCAGGAGTGTTAGCAACTCTGCTCTGCTAGGGGCAGGGTTCCCCAGGAAAAGGGTCACAGCCCTGTTCCGCTCAGCTCCTGTCTCTGACTTCCCAGGCAAAGTTGTAACAACTCGCAGCTGCTAGGGGAAGGCCCTCGAGAGAAAGTGTTAACAATCCCACTCTGCTCAGCTGGCTCCGTCTGCTCTGTCTCTGCTCTGGGAAAAGAAGGTCTTTACCCAAACCTCCTGCAAGAGATTCACTGTGAGGGAAGAATCCAGGAGAGTGGCTGCCTCTACCAGGGTGGAAGAGGAGCCACTGCAAAATGAACAGGTGCAGGACTTATATAGATAGGACTTCTTGGGATGGGGGTCGGGGGAGCCAAACTGTGTTTTCTTCACTGGCCTTTCTAAGCTTTTTGGCTCTAGATTGGGGGCTAGGGCATATTTCTTTTCCTGACTCTGATTCTGAGGTCAAAGTGTATTTCTTTGGCACTGGTTTCAGAGTCACGATGTATTTCTTTGGTTCTGGGTTTGGGGCTAAAGTATTTCTTTCACTGGCTCCTGTCTCAGAACCATGGTGTATTTCTTTCGCTGGAGCCCCGGGGGGTTTCTTTGACTGCCCCCTTTCTCCTACAGACGTCCTAAACCATCTGTTCAGCCCTAATTCCAAAAGGATATGGCAAACCATGTATGTAATTCCAACAATCAAAAGATGGTGCGTTTGAAGCCAGCCAGTGAAACACAGCAAGACTGTCTAAAAATGAAAACATAAGGTGAAAAAAACATTTCAAAAAAACCTCAAGAAAAAAAAAAAACTCAAGGCCCTAAAAGACATAGCAATCTAATGTCCTCCACAACAGAGGCAGAGCGGCTAGGCATTTCATCCTTGTGTAATTGAGAAGAATGGTGTGAGACGAGGCTAGGAAGTAGGGGGCAGGGGAGGGGTCTCTACTTCCGGGCCTTAGCTACCAGCGGTGGCAACTAGGTGCCCTTTAGAGCTTCGCACAAACAACTGCGTTTATTTTAAATATGCCAAGCCCCGCACGATTTACAAGCACAAAGGTTTGTTTTAAAACTGCAGCTCTGAGGGAAATGAGCTGGAAGCTTGAGGCAGAAATGAAATTACATTTCCAGCATCGGGAATGAGCCAGCCTACATATCAGACCAACTTAAAACATGGAGGGCGACAACCAGGGGGTCCTCCTCTCGTGGGTGCCCCTTCAGGGAACTGGGGAAGGAGGGGGAAAAACCTGGAGGGTCCTCCTCTCGTGGGTGCCCCTTCAGGGAACGGGGGAGGGGGGACACGACAACGACACACCAAGAGTGACGGTTCAGCAAATGCTGCCTGCAGGAGATTCATTTGTTGCACTAGTACAATCAGGCGAGCGGGGAGCCCGTCGCCTTTGGCAAAGATGCCTGCGCTTCCTTGCTTCTGCATCTTCTCCCTTCATCCCCGCCTTCCGTCAGCATGGATCTGCCAGCCCGCTACGTCGCACGCTTTGCTTTGCAAGCTCCCGGCAGCCCGCCCCGCACTTCCGGGGGCGGAGCCCAACCTCCATCGGTTTCCCCTGCGCCTGAGCTTTGGATGAATTCCACCAGACGGGTCGCCGGAAGCTGATCTTCTCCTTCCGGGTCGGGGCCATGGCGGTGGCAAATTCAAGTCCAGTCAATCCGGTGGTCTTCTTTGATGTCAGCATTGGCGGCCAGGTGAGGTGCGGGTAACCCAGCGGACCTGCGCGGGCGGGCAGGCACGGGTGAGGGAGGCGGCTGAGGGGGCCCTTCTAGCTCTCCCGAGTCAGGCTGGGCCAGGGCGGCGGAGATAGGAGCTTCTGAGCTGCGTGGGCAGCGGCCGTGGGCGCTGAGCCTTGGGTCTCCCGTCCCTTGCAGGAAGTTGGTCGCATGAAGATCGAGCTGTTTGCAGACGTGGTGCCTAAGACGGCAGAGAACTTTAGGTAAGGAGATGCTCCAACTGAACCAGAGTAGCTGAGTCCGAAGCCGGTCTTTGCAATGTCTGCCCCTGTCCATTCGTTCACTGCCTTGGGAGCTCTGTGTTCTGGGTATTACCCTGGCTGGATAGCTACCGGGTTTGAGCGTTCTCGTGTCAGTTTCTGTTACTAGTCCACATGCCTGCATGCCCTGCCATTTGGCCGACTTGGTGGCCCCACTGTTGGTACTCTCCTCTCCTGAGATTAGAGATGCGTCAAGCAGTGATGGCCTGATGACTGAATCGTTCACCCTTTCTTTCCTTTTAGGCAATTCTGCACTGGAGAGTTCAGGTCAGTCTCGGATGTGTTTGACCTTTCCCCCTACTCCTGAAGGGTGTCCTGGGGGTTTGGTGAGGGTATTGGGGAACATGGGCAAATCTTGAGCGATGAAAGATGATATTCAGAGGGTGTCTCCATTATTGATGTGTTCTTGAGCTCAGTTCTATCCAGTTCTTTATGAGAGTCCTCTTAGCTTCCAGTGTGTCCTAAACGGGAAGGACCCCTCATCACTCCAAGCCTCCTTCTTTTTGGTTACAGGAAAGATGGTGTTCCAATCGGATACAAAGGAAGCACCTTCCATAGGTAAGACTTTGGGCATGCAGGAAATGCGGTCATCGTTTGGTATCTATACAGGCAATCCTGTACACCTGAGTACAAAACCTATGCATGGTTGTTGTTTAAAGTGTCCGTATTCAGGGCTGAGGATAGAGCTGGGCAGAGAATTTGCCCAGCATGCGTGAGGCTCTGGGTTCAGCACTCAGCACCAGATAGCTGGGGTACAGCTTCCTTTGCACCTTAAGTCACCCACGCCGGCTCTGTGTAATACCGCATTGTAGAAATGATGGCAAGGAAGACACTGTATCAGTTTGGTTACAGGTACGCTTCTGTATGCTTCCATACCCGGCTTTTATGTGGGGTCTGGTCCCCATATCGAGGACTTTATGCACTGAACCATCTCCCTTGCTCCAGGTTATGATTTTAGTAGAGGCTTTTGTAATACTGTTATCAGGAAGTCATCTGTAGGAACCTGACCTTTATGAGCACCTAGTTTTCTGTATTTACCTGTTTTTGTTAGGGTTTGATAGAAGTTGTACCACTTTAATCCTGAAATTTTTTCATGTCCTCCATATCAGGGGCATTAGAGCTATGGTCATTAATCCTCCCCGGCATTCTTGTGAAGTAGTATGTGTTACCCACATTCTTTATGGAAGGAAACTGAAGCCAAGAAAGGCTAAGGACTACGCCTGGGTATAAAAGCTTACATTGCCCTGTGTGTGTAGCGGTCCCATTGCACATGGAGTTGCTGTTGTTCTTTTCCCCCCAAATTTGCATTGAGCCCTTGACATGTTTTTCTTTTGGCGAATATGTTATTTCTTCCTGCCAAGTTTCAGCCCCTTTCTACTGTTCAGGTGGTGACTCATACACCCCAGATCAACCCAGAGATGCCCCTGAAGTTGAACTTTTTATGTTAGTAATCCCTCGGCTTGCTCACTCCAGGGGTGAAGACTCATTCTCTGTGCCACCGTGGTAAACGCTGTACTTCAGACAAACTACTAATCAACCATGCCAGTGACTAAACCACTGAATCCTTCCCTCAGGACTTTTTTTTTTATTCTGTTTCAGGGTCATAAAGGATTTCATGATTCAGGGTGGAGATTTTGTTAATGTGAGTACTGCTTCTTTGCTTGGCTCTTCTTCCTGTCAGGCCCCAGTCTTGAGATCTAAGAATACTGCTAAGTTAAGTGGAGAGAGCGTGGGCATGGGGATGTGCTGTAGAATTGCTGGCTACCACTGTCTTTGTCCTCAGAACACATATCTCTACCAAACTTGAATCGTTAAGTTCCATTGTCCAAACGTGAGCCTTTTGTAACCAGAAATTGGACTCTGCTAGGATACCTAAAGATGATCCGAGGTGGTCAACATACATTGTTCAGGGGCTGGAGAGATGGCTCAGTGGTTAAGAGCATTGCCTGCTCTTCCAAAGGTTCTGAGTTCAATTCCCAGCAACCACATGGTGGCTCACAACCATCTGTAACGAGGTCTAGTGCCCTCTTCTGGCCTGCAGGCATACACACAGACAGAATATTGTATACATAATAAATAAATATTAAAAAAAAAAGAATTACATTTTAAAAAAATATATACATTGTTCACAGAAAACTTTGAAATTAGCTGCAATTTTTCCCCCCAAAAGAAAGTGAGCGGGCTGTTTGTGTCCCCTATTTTTCCTTCCACTTCTGGTGTCACCGTCTAAAACTCTAGTTTTCTGTTTGCTTTTTGTGGGTCTTCCTTTCTTTTTTCCTTTCGAAAGCTGAGGTTTTAGCCACAACCCACTTAGTGGCAAGGGATCCGATTAGGAAAGGCAGGTGGTTCGAAGAGACTTTCTTCTGCTTGCTGAGGTATCCCTGGGATCTCCATACTTCGCTGCTGACCATGACTGTTTTGTGTCCACACTATTTGTGTCCCCATCCCAACTTTGGAGTGTGCCCAATAAGCTACGATTTTTTTCTTTCTTACACTGCTTTTCCCTTAGCCGCCCAGTTTTGTGCATGCTGTTTCTTACTGTCAGTATTGCGTAATTGGGTGTCTGGGAAACGTAAGTGTAAGTTTAGATTCCTGGGAGTTTTTAAGATCCTATTCCCCCTACGGAGGGTAGCATAGGACCCTACTCCCCCTTCGTAGGGTAGCATAGGATCTTACTCTGTGGGTACCTAAACTTACATGCATATACCCATACCACACACACAACACATAATTAAAAATAATACAAATAAACCATTTTTTAAAACTGGGAAATTTGGGAGCCAGAGAGATGGCTCAGAGATTAAGAGCCCTGGTGGCTCTTCCAGAGGACACAGGTTTGATTCCCAGCACCTACATGGTAGTTCATAGTCACCTATAACTCCAGCTCTATGAATGTGAAAAAGAATAAGAAGGGGTTTATGGAAGGGTCTGGAGGGAGGAAAGGGAAGAGGAAATGATGTGATTATCTCAAATTTTAAAATATTTTATAAAAATAAATCTTTTTTTGTTTTTTTGTTTTTATTTTGTCTAGACAGGATTTCTCTGTGGCTTTGGATCCTGTCCTGGAACCAGCTTTTGTAGACCAGGCTGGCCTAGAACTCACAGAGATCCACCTGCCTCTGCCTCCTGAGTGCTGGGATTAAAGGTGTGCGCCACCACCACTGCCTGGCTAATAATAAATCTTAAAGAGATAAAGAAGCTAGACTTTAAGTGCAACAGTGTTTCTTCTCTTCGCCCATCCAATGGGTGTGCATTAGTGGGCATGCAGGTGTGCAAGCCTGTGGATGTGTGTGTGTACACCAGTAGGCCCACAGGTGAGCAAGTCTGTGGATGTGTGCGTGTGCTCACATGCACACAGGTATGCAAGCCTGTGGGTGTGGAGCCCAGAGGAAGACATTAGGTGTTCCCTGTCAGTCACTTATTGCCTTAAGGAAAGGTCTCAATAGATCATTTGCTGCTTGGTTCAGTGAGGGTAGCTGACTGACTAGCTCACAGTATCTGCCTTTCTCTACATGTTAATTCTGGAGGCATGTACAGCCATGCCTGGCTTTCTTTCTTTTTTTTTTTTTTTTTTTTCCTTTTTCTTAATGTGTGTGCTAAGGATTTGAACTCGGGTCCTCATGGTTGGATAGCAGCCAGCTTTTATCTACTGAGCCATTCTCCCCAGCCCTGTGAGTGTTCTTCCTCTGGTTTCAAGGGTGCCGAACACTCGAGACCACTAACATATCTCTGCTCTATTTAGGGAGATGGTACTGGAGTCGCTAGCATTTACCGCGGTCCATTTGCAGATGAAAATTTTAAACTTAGACACTCGGCTCCAGGCCTACTTTCCATGGTAAGTGAGGTTCAGTTAAGATTTGGGGTTGGGGGGCTGGAGAGATGGCTCAGCGGTTAAGAGCACTGACTGTTCTACCAGAGGTCCTGAGTTCAATTCCCAGCAACCACATGGTGGCTCACAACCATCTCTAATAAGATCTGTTGCCAACTTCTGGCCTGCAGGGACATGTGCAGACAGAACATTGTATACATAATAAATAAATAAATCTTTAAAAAAAAAGATTTGGGGTTGGAGGAAGAGCAGATTTCTGGTGCCTTGTTGAGGTCCAGCTGTCTCTTGGAATCAGAGCAGATGCTTCTCTTACTTCAGTCAGACCTCACCTCCTTCCTTGGTCGGGTTTGATGTTGTTGGCTGAGGTCTTGCAGCTGTAGAGTGGAACCGAACTCTGACTTGTGTTGTTGCCTTTATTGATAACGAAGACGTGTGGATGGGCTTTAGCCTTAGTGTTCAGTGGCTTCCAAGACTGGTGCTCACCTGCTTGTTGCCCTGGTTGCTGTGATGCACTCACTGCAGTAGCTGCATGCTGGCCACTCCCCTGCTTCCCGCCCTCTCCATGAAGTTCCTTCCTAGTCCCATGGGCTGCTCTCTCTCCCCAATTCCTAATCCCCGCTCAGACTCCCTCGTGCTTTACTCTCTTACTTATCTAACTTACCTCTGCTCACTGCTTGCCCCTTCACGTTGCTCGCCCTCACTCCTCCTTTCCCTTGCTCCCTCTTTTCTCCCTCACCTCCCACTCCTCGCAGTCCCGCCATCAGCGCTCCAGTCCTCACCTCCTGGTGCCGGTGTCTGTGTGTACATCCTCTGTCCTGCCTGCCTGCTCTTCACTCTTCTTCCCCAGCATTTATGAGAATTTGTGAAAATTGATGAAAATTTGTACACAGCCATTCCATTCAAGTCTCAGGGCAAAGCACAAGGACACAAACATGACCTCTGCCATTGTCACATGTAACGTCTAACCCAAATTTGGTACCCAGCACCCGCATCAGGCAGCTGACAACTTTCTGCAACTACAGGTTTGGGGGATCCTTCATGAATATGGTATACATCAAATTATAATGGGAATACATAATACAAGTAAATTTTAATACATTGCAAAACCACTTCAAACAGCTGATTTCATAGGCAGTGTGTCTTTTCTTAGCTACTAACCAATTTGTAAGTATAACCCAGTTGTAAATAATTTACAGCTAAACACACTAAGTCAAGTCCTGTAAGAAGGGAAAGGGGGATATAGTAAGATAGCTCAGCAAGTAAAGGCAAGGGATAAAGGTACCTGCTGCACATGCCTGAGTTCAATCCTAGCCCCATGTCGAGGTGGAGGTAGAGAACTAACTTCACAAATCTATTCTCTGACCTCATAAACGTGTACACGCATGCACACATACACAATTTTTTTTTAATTTAAAAGAAAGGAGAAGGGGACCCATTAGAGAAAAGTAAGGGAATCAGTTGAGAGATGAGAGGAGTAGGGGAAGAGAATCAGTAAGAACAGAGTATAATAAATGTAGATATGAAAATGCCATAATTAAAGCATTACTTTGTATGCTAACCTAAAACTTAGTTAAATCTTGTATTTGCTTGTTTTAAATGAGCAGTCATTCCCATTACAAAACCTCACAGTAGGAGCTCAGCGGGTAAAGATGCTTACCACCAAGTCGGATGGCCTGAGTTCCCACGTGATGGAAAGAGAGGCCTGACTCCTACAGAACCTGACAAGGAAATTGTTCGTTGATTGAAGAACTTAGATCCTCAGGGATGGAGCCTCTGTGTCCTGTTTGTCTCTGTCTGTCCTTAGCTAGACCTGAGCTTATAATAGGTGCTCAGTTGGGTTGCATTTAGAGCTGTGTATTCTAGGAAATCTTGCCCTTCACCCAATACAGCCAGAGAAACTTACTGCAGGTACATTTGGTTCTTATCAGGCAAACAGTGGTCCCAGTACAAACGGCTGCCAGTTCTTTATCACATGTTCTAAGTGTGATTGGCTGGATGGGAAGCACGTAGTGTTTGGTAAGTCTTGTCCCAGTCATCTATCTGCCACATTTTCCACACTCACTAAGGGTGCTCAGCTGCTTAGCTGGACTAGGCTGGGGCTGATGGTGGGGCTGGCTATGGCCAATGAACGTGGTGGGGATAGCTGGGGCCGGTGGACGTGGTGGGGGTGGCTGGGGCCAATGAACATGGTGGGGGTGGCTGGGGGCAATGGACGTGGTGGGGTGGCTGGGGCTGATGGACGTGGGGCTTGGCTGGAACTCATGGAAAAGACAATGGTATTCTAATCAATACTCATGAAATAAATAATGAAGAAATGCCCCAGAGATAGCATGGATGAGTGTGGTTCTGGGGCCATGTAGATCCAGTCCTCTATCCTGGTTTCCTGCATATATTCCTATGACTTCGGGCAAGTCAGCTTGCCTCATTGAACTCAGTTTCCTTACGTTGTAAGAGGGTTTGGGATGCCAACTGAGAATGGGCACTGGGAGCTGGGTGCAGTACCAGCACCGAGAAAGAAACCTTGACTTGATGTTCTTCCTGCAGGAAAAATCATTGATGGACTTCTGGTGATGAGAAAAATCGAGGTTGGTCCTGCTGGGTGTCCCTGCAGCCTTTCTGATCGGTGCCTTCTGCCTGCTAATGAGGGGCTAGAGAAGGGTGATGGGCTCCAGTTCCTAGGTAGACTTGTCGCTGTCTGCAGCCATGGCCTCCCCTTCCTTGGGGAAGACAGGAGAGCTCAAGCCTTCTTGGCTCCGTTCATTATCCTGCCCAGTACATCCTAGGGTTTGGCCTCTCATTCTGATGCCCACTTGATAAAATTCCACTTCTTGGCATTGCATTCAGGATCCTGAATTGTGATCTGTACCCTGCCTATCCCTCCATGACCCCTTCTGCCACTGCCTTCTCTTCTCTGGTCCAGTGGCATCAAACTCCTGGCTCTTCTTTAAGGAGGTTGACCATAACAGGTGCGTGCCTCCTGCTCCTCCCAGCCCCAAGCTTTGACTCCATTACTCCTCTCTTCCTGAAGAGTTCCTTCTTTGGGATCTTATCTACCCCTTATGGCTCAGTTCAGATCACCCTCTTCTGTGACTCCTCCATAAGCTGGGTCCCTGCTCAGTGTTCTTTTGACTTGCTACATTGTTAGGTTGTGGAGCCAAGGCCTCTGAATGTTACTTTTCTATTGGGTCTTTTATACTTTAATGTCTGTCAGGACACACCGCATCAGTCTGATCCTGGGCCCTGGCTTAGGGGATGGGGATCTGTTAGACATTCTGTCTGTCAGGATGCACGCCACAGCAGTCTGATCTTGGGCCCTTTCTTGGGGTGTAAGCAAGGCACTGAGCAGGTGCCTGACCTGAGTGCATCTCATGTTCTTATGCTTTGTTTTCTAGAATGTTCCCACGGGCCCTAACAATAAGCCCAAATTGCCAGTGGTAATCTCCCAGTGTGGGGAAATGTAATCTAGACCAAGACTGAACCAGGTAAGTGATCTCTTCTTCCAGTTAGGAAAAGGAATCATGACTTGAGGGAGACTTTCCACTCTTAGATGTGGGTTGAGTTCATTCCTCTGCATGTAAGTGTGGAGCAGGCATTCCTCAGGGCTTGTCTCCTCAGCTGTCAGGAGAAGATGTCAGCCTGAGGGTCACTGTGAGAAGCAAAAGGGGGGACACTGGAAATACTCCTTTTCTACTGCTCATCCAGTGTCACCCTGAAAAGGACCTGACTCCCAGGTGACTGGGATGAGCCTGCTGTCCAGTCCTGGAGGTGTGGGCCTCACCTGCAGCTTTCACGGCTTACTTCCTCTTACTTGCCACTGGCTGCTCTGTACTGGGGCCTTTTGGGAAAGAACTAAAAGGCACTCCCAGGAGCGAATTCACCCTCTGAAGTGAATGCTAATGACATCAGTGGCTTGCGTGTTAGTACAGGCGGGGAAGATGGGTCGGTCCACCTCTGTGAGAGGTCGTGGTATTTTGTTGGTCTTTTCAGTTTTTTTCAAACCTACAAGAAAATTTGGAAAACTGTTGATTAATCACCCATAACCTCACAGCTAGTGTTGGACATTTGCTTGTGGCTGTGCTGTCCACTCCCTCTGTTCTCATGCCATGCCCTCTCCTTCACTGTCTTGTTTCCCTTCCTTCCTTCCCTGCCCTCATTGCCTTCCTTCTCATTCTAAAACTGCAGATCTCTTGACGCTTCACCCTCAGGTACTTCAGCAGGAGCCCCCAATAATAAGACTAAATAAACAATAATATTTATAATATATATTCATATTCAAAATTACCAGTTGTCTCCAAAGTAACTTTTAAATCATACAGAAACTTATTTTATTTGTGGTGCTGGGGATTTAACCAAGCTTTGTACATTCATCACCAGCAGGCTGAAGAGATAGCTCAGGGGTTAAGGGGATGGGGTTAAGGCACTCACACTAGCTGATGACGGATGGTTTAACACCACCACCGCCTGACTAAAAAAATTCCCAGCACTTGGAAGGGGTCACCATGCCACATGTATCTCTTTCTACCGATCAGTAAGTCTCTGTAGCGGGATGGAGAGATGGCTTCTCTTCCAGAGGTCCTGAATTCAATTCCCAGCAAACACATAGTGGCTCACAACCATCTGTAATTAGAGTTGGTACTCTCTTCTGTCCTGCAAGTCATCCGTGCAGGCAGAACACTCTACCTAATAAATCAATCAATCAATCAATCAATCAATCTTAAAAAGAGAGAGAGAGAGAAATGAAAAGAAAATGTCCTGGGCTGGAAAGGTGGCTCGGCACTTAAGAGCACTGACTGCCCTTCAGCATGCACACACATGGCAGCTCACAACTGTTTCTGTCTCTAAGATCTGACACCCTCACACAAACATGCATACATGCAAAATACTAATGCAAATAAAAACAAAGAAAAGTCTTTAGTTGAGACTGGCCTCAAACCCATAATCTTCCTCCTGCCTCCTAGGTATGAGATTAGAAAGCCACCCACACTAGTTTACTTGCCTCGGCTTCCTGATTACCAGGAATATTATCACACCTAGATATGGTGGCACACACCTTTAATTCCAGCAATTCAGGAGACAGGCAGGCTGATCTCAGCCCAGGGCCTGCCTGGTCTACAGAGCAAGTTCCAGGACTGCCAGGCAAAAATGAAAAAAATTTAGTTGGGTGTGGTAGTACACACCTGTAACTCTGTAATCCCAGCCTGGAAGAGGTTGCCTACAGGTGACAAATTTGAGGACTGCTGGATAGAAGAATGTTTTTCTAGGCTAGCCTGGCAACTTTGTGACCCTGTATAAAAGAGGAACCAAGCGAAGCCTGCTCAGTGGCAGGTAAAGGTGAGGGCTGCCAAGGTAGACCTGAGTTTGGGCCCCAGAACCAGCTGGAGGAAAAAGAGAACTGACTCCCGCAGATTTCCCTCTGACTTGTGCTGCGGCACTCACATCTGTACGTACATGCACAAAATGAGTAAATAAATAAATGCAAACTGTTTGGCGGAGCTGGTTGTGGAGGCTTGCACTCAGGATCTTAGCATTTGGAGACTGAGGCAAGACTGCCACAAATTCACAGAGGGCCATGGTGGCAGCAGCCTGGCCACCGGCTGAGGTGTTGCTCAAGAACACAAAGCACACACACAGGGTCTGTCCCTTCTACAGCAAAGGAAAGGAAAAATATGTAAGTTCTAATTTGATGGGGTCAAGATTATTGGTCCCTTAATGACTTTCCTGCTTTGTCTTATCTAAATTTCACTACCTGCAATCTTAATATCCTCTATAGTACTGTGTCTGTACCCATTAACATTTCTGTACTTTATCTGTACGCTTAGAAAATTATATCTGTTTGTTTATTGTAGGTAACAATGGAGGTTAAAGGACAACTTTTTAAAGTCTGTTCTCTTCTACCCTGTGGTCCCTGGGATCAAACTGAGACTCAGCAACAAGAGTCTTAACCCTCTGGGTCATCTCACTGGCCTGGAGTCTTGTTTGTTTGTCTGTTTGTTTAAATATTTATTTATTATGTATATGGTGTTCTGCCTGCATGTATCCCTGCAGGCCAGAAGAGAGTACCAGATCTCATTACAGATGGTTGGGAGCCGCCATGTGGCTGCTGGGACTTGAACTCAGGACCTCTGGAAGAGTAGCCAGTATCCTTAACCTCTGAGCCATCTCTTCAGCCCTCTTTTATTTTGTTTTGTTTGTTTTTGTTTTCGATATAGGGTTTCTCTGTATAGCTTTGGAGCCTGTCCTGGAACTTAACTATAGACCAGGCTGATCTTGAACTCAGAGATCTACTTGCCTCTGCCTCCTGAGTTCAGGGATTAAAATAAAGGTGTAAATTACCACCGTGTGACTTTTATTTAATTTATTTTTTGGTGGGGGTGACAAGGTTCCTCTGTAACAGCCTTGACTGCCCTGGAACTAGCTCTTGTAGACCATGCTGTCCTCGAACTTACAGAGATCCTCCTGCCTCTGCCTCCTTCATCTAATCCTACCGGCATGTGCCACCACAAGTGGCTTGTTTTATTTTTGAGACAGGGTCTTATTATCTCACCTTGCCTGGCCTGTCTGCAATCACAGAAATGCCCTGTCCCTGCCTCCTGAGTGCTGGGATGAAAGACATGCTCCACCATGGCAGGCAGTCTCTTGTTTTTTAAGTAGAGATCAGTTAGATACCAAACAACTTCAGTGACTGTATCCACATCATCTGCGACGTGCTTGTGCTCAGAGCATCTGGAACTTACAGACTTTCAGTAACACTCCACGAGGCAGTGAAGGAAGACCAAGCACTTTAGGGAGGGCTAGAGTGAGCAGTGCTGGGCCAGAATGCACAGGTACTCACTGGAAGCTACAGGTGGGCCTTTTTGCCTGGACAGATGCTTCCCTTTTGGGCTGAGTGAACACCGTGAACCTTTCTCTCCCACTTCAGGAGCTACTGCCTACCTCTCCTGGCTTTTCTCATTTCTTTGATGTCTATTGCTAATGATGAGATTTCTGACCATTGCTAGATGATAGAAGATTACAAAAAAAAAGACTGAAAACATTAAGAAATATCATAAAGCCTACCTAAAACTCTAGCTCTAAAACTGCCTGCTTTCACCCTGTGAGGGTTATGCTTTACAGTGGTCTCTGGCCAGTGCCACTCTCATGACATGAGGGTGCCCCATTTTGCTTTATAGTAAACTCTCTTCCATACACAGACAAAAGATGAAATTTAAAAGATTGTTCAGGTTGGGTGGTGGCGGTGCATGCTTTTAATCTCAACACTCTGCCTGGGGGCGGGGGTTATTCAGGAATATTTATTTATTTATTTATTTATTTATTTATTTATTTATTTGGAAAGGGGTTTCAAGACAGGGTTTCTCTGTGTTGCCTAGGCTTTTCTGGAAATCACTCTGTAGACCACCCGGCTCAGGAATTGATTCTCTTACGGGCACTGGGATTGTAGTTTAGTGACAGGGTCCTTGCTTGACAACAAGATTCACTGCCCGAGCTGGGTGGTGGTGGTGCACGCCTTTAATCCCAGCACTCTGGCGGCAGAGGCAGGCGAATCTCTGAGTTCGAGACCAGCCTGGTCTACAGACCTAGTTCCAGGACAGGCTCCAAAGCCACAGAGAAACCCTGTCTCGAAAAAAAAAAAAAGAACTCTGACTGTTCTTCCATACAACCCGGGTTCAGTTCCCACCTGGCAGCTCACAGTTGTCTGAAAATCCAGTTCCAGGGGATCTGACACCTTCGCAACAATTCACATAAAATAAAGTTAAATAAATCATAAAAAATTATTCCTAAAAAAAAAGATTCACTGCCCAATACAAAAAACAAGACAAAAAGCAACCTTCTTTACATTGGAGTCTCTTTTCTGAGCAGTTCTTTACAGAACTGGAAAGCCCTTTTGGGGGCTTTCAGAATCATTAGCCGGCCTTCCCACTATTAGCAAAAGTCATTTAGCTCTTTGTCAAAATCCCTGTTGTGGCCCAAGTGAAACAAATTCCTCAGTGGTCATTCACATTCCAGAGCCCTCCAGACCGGGACTGTCCATTGGACAGCCCTGTCTGCAGTGGTGATGGAAATGCCTGTGTCTGCCCAGGTAGATGGCAGAGCTACTTTGGCCCTGTGTGGTTAAGAAGCTTGTGAAACTTGGCTGGGGAGGCTGAGGGGATGGGCTTTTCGTTTCTTTGGTTTTTTGTTTTGGTTGAGCTTTTGTTTTTGTTTTTGAGGCAGGGTTTCTCTGTAGTGTTGAAACCTGTCCTGGAACTTTGAAACCTGTTCTGTAGACATGGCTGACCTCGAACTCACAGAGATCTTCCTGCCTCTGCCTCCCGAGTGTTGGGATTAAAAGGTGTGCGCCTCTACCACCACTGGGCTTCTTTGGTTGTTGTTGTTATTGTTTTGATTTTTTTTTTTTACTTACAAGGAAGGGAGGAGTTTGAAACAGGGTCTTCAATTTTAGCCCTAGCAGACCAAGTATTCACTTGTAACCCAGTAACTGAAACTGTAGCAGGCCTCCTGCCTCTGCCTCCCAAGTGCAGGAATTATAAGCATGCATCACTGTGCCCAGCTATGTTTCATTATTTTTGAGACAAGGTCTCAGATAATCCAGGCTGGCCTCAAACTTGCTGTGTAGCTGAGGATGACCTTGGATTTGTGATCCTTCTGCCCCCATCCTCTGGATTCTGGGATGGGGGGGGGGTATTTGGTCAGTGGTACTAGAGATTGACCCCAGAGTTTCCTATGTAATAGGCAAGTGTTTCACCAACTGAACTAAATACTCAGCCTTTCCCTGAATTTTTAACTTCATTTAAATTTTTGTTTTTTTTTTTTTGAGACAAGGTTTCTCTTTGTAGCCTTGGCTGTACTGGAACTTGCTCTATAGACCAGGATGGCCTCGAACTCACAGAGATTCACCTGCCTCTCCCTCCCAGACACGCACCACCACCTCCCAGCTACTTTATTTTAATTAAATCTGAAGGATTCCATGTGGCTGTAATGGCTGCTCTTTTAAGGTGTCAGGGAATCTAGAGAACAGTCTGCTGTAAAGAGGGTTGGTGGGTAGCTGTCCACTTTGGATTTGTTCATAGTGAGACTTGACACAGGTTAAGGAGAATAATGAGCTAGCAGCCCTCCATTTTCCTTTTAGATGGAAACTTATAGGCTTCCCTAAATGTCCCCGAAGTGGTTTTTGTGTGTGTGTGTATGTTTTAATATTTTATGTGTGTGTTTTTTCCCTGAGTATCTTGTGTACTATGTGCATGCTTGGTGCCCAAGGAGGTTGGAAGAGGACATCAGAGCCCCTGGAACTAGAGATGGCTGTGAGCTGCCATGTGGGTGCTGGGAATTGAACCAGGTCTTCTGGAAGAACAGCCAGTGAGTGTTCTTAACCACTGAGCCATCTTTTCTGTGCACCCCCACACACAAGTGTTTTTTTTATTATACCAAGTGTTTTAGGTGGAATAATAGTAAAGAGCCACATAGACGATTTTAAGACCTATTGGGCAATTGTTGTCTGGTTGGATTTGGGGGGGGGGGCTGATTTGTCTCAGCTTTGTGAGTGTCCAAATTACAGGCATGGGTCACCATGCCAGGCATTATTTCTCGTACTTTAATGTACTTAATTAATGTACTCCCAGATCCTCATCTTCTTTTTCCCAAACACTAGACCTTCGGGTCCCCAGGAGCACATGAAGACATAGAACACAAGCGCGCAGTAGCGAATGTGTGAGCAGGCACACCTTTAAGATCCTTCCCCTCTCCCTGCGCTGTAGTGTGTATTAACTTGTGTTCACTTATTGTGTGTGTGGGCATGCATGCTATGGCGCTCAAGAGGAGTTTACCAAAGAGCTAGTTCTGATGAATTGTCACAGGTAATAGTGAGTGGAGAAGCTCAGCATGGGATTGACAGGGTTTGTCCAAGGAGAAAGCCAGCTCAGGAGAAGATGACCTCCTGATGCTCCAGCCAGAGTCATGCCAGCAAGGTGTGCCCCCATGTATTTGTCTGCCTGTTGGGTGTGTGGCACTGTTCTCTGCCACGAGAGAGGTAGAATGTCTGGCTCTACTCCAGTCCAAAGGCCAGGCCCCTACATTGTCTTTACAGTCACGGTGAGGCTCTTCTATGCACTACCATTCAGCCTTAGGAAAAAGAAAGGAGCATCCGTGTACTGGCAAGATTTCAGAGTAAATGAAGTGACTACGGAGATCATTGTACTGCACAGACGTGGCACACTGTTGACTGTTCCAGAACTTTTGGGGCTAAATAGCACATTGCTAATAGTAGATACTTCCACTAAGTTGAGGCAGCAAAGACTTTCTTTTCAGGTTATTTTGTTCCATTAATTCTACACTGAACTTAAATCTTCTGATAGAAAGACACATTGTATGTATGTGTGTATATATCCCAAGTCTTTCTCTTCTCTTCCTGAAGCATGCCTATGGCTAACATGAGTTTAGAAATCCTGCCTGTGTCCTTCCAGCTCTTCTGGGTTCAGCCCAGTCCGTGGTTCCCACCAGGTACCATCACAACACTTAGCACAGTGAGTGTATCGCAGTGTGTATATTAGGCTAGCTTTGTCTTGACTGGGGACACCTTGAAGCAAGGGCCATATTGAGAACACAGTGCATGGTGTCATAGACCTTCGCCTCCAGTACACTGAGCTGTTTCTAATGCACTTATGCATTCTTACACACTGAGGACCCGGGGTAACTTGCGGGCCTCCACTGTGATACCAAAACTCACTGTTCCTAAGAAGAGGGTGTATCCACATAAGGGGGCTGATGAGAGAAAGGCAGTGGTACACACACCTTTCTCTTTTAGTACAGCTAACCTGGAAGTCCGTGTGCAGCAAGCTCTCAAAGCCTGATGAGGACACACACAAGCCTTGAGCCAAACAGCCCCAACATTGTTCATTCTGTGGCCTTAGTCAAGTCATTAAGCCTCCTGGAACTCATTTGTCCCTTTGCATGGAGATAGTATATATAAGCCAGGAGCTAGTACAGCAGGTGACAACACTTGTTGCTAAATCCAACACCTGAGCTGAATCCCCGGCACCTATGTGGTTGAGAGAGCCAACTCACGCAAGATGTTCTCTGAGCGCCATAGCATTGCCCACACATACAATAAGTGAACACAAGTTAGTTAATACACACTACAGACCAGGGAGAGGTGAAGGATCTTAGAGGTGTGTCTGCTCACACATTCGCTACTGCGCTTATGTTCTACATGTCCTCATGTGCTCCTGGGGATCCAAAGGTTTGGGAAAAAGGATACGGGCGCATCTGTTTCATAGAGGTGCCCTTCCTGTTCCTTTGAGCTGTTTTCCCTATCTTCTCACTGACCTGTCCCTGCCGTTTAGGTCTTCAGTGTTGGGTGACACTCCCCTTGAGTCTGACAAGCTGGACTGACCTCTGCCTCCACAGTGTGTGAACAAGGACCTGGAAGTCTCACAAATCAGAACCAAGATTTTGTTTAAATTTTGAACTGTAAATAAAGGATTTTTTTTTTAATGTTGGTGTTTGTGTTGCTCACTTTTATAAAGTCAAGCAACGCCAATGTTTATTCAAATAGGAAAGTTTAGTTAGGTTTAAATGAAAAGCCCCTAGAGCCAGATGCTTTAGTCCCAGCACCTAGGAAGCATAGGCAGGCCTGTGAGTTTAAAGCTTGCCAAGGCCACATCCCTGTCTCAAAGAACAGCAGTAGAGCAGTAAATCTCTGCAGAATCGCTTTAGACAAATGGAAAGGAATGTGGGGTGGAGAAAAGGTAAGGAAACCCAAAGTATCAGAAAAAGCAAAAGCATGCTTAGGTCTTGGCCTGCATCCAAAAGAGACAGGGAAGGTTGTGCCTGAGTCAGGGTTGGTCAGGTGGGCAAACGAGCCAGACCTCGCTGAAGTTGGTGTGTGGTTTTAAGTGGCAGTAGGGACAGCCCTGTCTTCTCGCCTCTGTGCTTCAGCTCGGACTGGCACTCCTCAGAGGCATGGAGAAGAGCCAAGTGCCGTGTGGATCAAAGCCTCCAACTGGGCAACAGTGAAATGCAGGCCTGTTCAGCAGTAGGTAATCCAGGATATCCCAGCAGATTTGATTCCATTAGCTCTGGAGCTACTGGTCAAGGGGTCACTACCTCGGGATGTGTAGGGAGGAAACCTTCTGATAGAATGTGTCTTGAGGGGCTGGAGAGATGGCTCAGTGGTTAAGAGCATTGCCTGCTCTTCCGAAGGTCCTGAGTTCAATTCCCAGCAACCACATGGTGGCTCACAACCATCTGTAAAGAGGTCTGGCGCCCTCTTCTGGCCTTTAGGCATACAGACAGGATATTGTATACATTAAATAAATAAGTAAATATTTAAAAAAAAATAGAATGTGTCTTGAACTAGTAGGACTCGTGGAGGAATCTTCACCAGGTCACTTTTGAACCTGGTTTCCTAATCTGTAAAACGAGGTGGCTGATAGGGGTGGTGAGGAGGAGGAGAAGGAGGGAGGCATCGTAATACCTCCCTTATGCAGGAGAACTGCAGTAAATTCAAGGACAGTTTGGAGCACTCTAGAGACCCAGGGAGGTTAGGAGTAGATGGGTGTGGTGGCACCCTTAATCCCAGTCCTTGGGTAGGTGAAGGCCGAAGGATCAGGAACTCAAGGCTAACCTTGGCTGTACGAGTCCCTGTGTCTCAAAATACCAGCAGCCATACAGGACAGATAAATACCATGCCTTGGAAAATTTTGGAAAGGGAATAATCCAACATGGAAAGACTCCACTTCCTATGGAGTATAACGTGAGGATGAGAAAGTTACTATGACCGGGCGATGGTGGCGCACGCCTTTAATCCCAGCACTGGGGAGGCAGAGGCAGGCGGATCTCTGTGAGTTCGAGACCAGCCTGGTCTAC